ATTTCCTGAAGTGTGCCCCACAAGATGGAAATCCTGATGAGTATAAATAAGGATTGTGCAAAAAGGATCAAATCACCTTGGGATATGTCACGTTAAAACAAAATTAATTGGGCTTCACCACTATAGAACTTCTACGAGCTCTGGAAATTTCAATGTTCATGTGAAAATTCATCTCCCAAACTTATTTGCTTACAGAATTCTTGTTTTCATACAACCTTGCAGCATCTCTTGGAACCAGTATCTTAAAGACCATCTTTGGGAAACACCTTTTTATTTTTCTTACCCTGTTTTGGCTGATAGGTACAGATACTGATTAAACAATGAATGGACCAAACATTTCATCATCACACCCTGTTATAAAAGGCACTCTAGTTAAAAACATATCGAGAACAACCACTGTTGTTAACCAAACCTGGAAATTCTGTTTCTTTTTACCAGTAATTAAAAGCAATCCTACCATCATCCATGAGACCCTCTGCACCCTTGCTTTCACCCCCTACCCATTCTGTTGTCAAAGTCCACTGGCATATTTTCATTTTGTTTATTCATCTGCTCTGTTTCCTTATATTATACATATAGGTAAAATCATCCAATATACATCTGTCCTTGAATTCTGGGATAATATGCATGACTTAAAAAACGATTCCCCTGACTTAATTCACTTCCTCTAATCCCCACTGAGTTCATTGCATTTTATTGCAAATGGCAAAATCTCATTTTTTAAATAGCTGAATATTATTCTATTGTCTCTCTATAGTGCATCTTCTTTATTCAATCATCTACCAATGGGCACTTGAGGTATGGTTGTTCCACCAATGCGCACGCGGCCTGCCTTTAGCTCCAGCTTTCATTCCCAGTTGAAATGTTTTGCTTAACCTCCCTTGGTCTGTCCTTTGGCATTTGGCATTGGGAAATCAATAGCTACAAATATTTATTCTGCGGTCAAAATGCTGCAGGATATCATAGTTCAGATGGTCTTCCCTTCTCCAAACATTTCTTTCTCTCTCTTGCTTTCTGTTCTCCTGTCTATTTTTTTCTGTTCACTCCACTACACTTTCAATGTGTGAAAGGAACAAAAGACAATGCTTATCCCAAAGGAGGTAGAAAGGATAATATCATTGCTGAGTTTTTCATGTATATGAAAAAAAGAGTTTTTTAAAGTATCATACCTAACACAAACATTTTGGTAAAATTCCAAATTAAAAAAAAAAAAGTAAAGGTTGAAATGGACTCATTCTATCTAAACATAACAGGACCCAGAAAAGCATCTTCACGTACACTGTATAAATACACAAATACTATTCAAAAGCTAATGGATCCCTAACCCCTATGTGACATGTTACTACATAGATAACTGATCTCAATGCATATTGTATCAATTATGACACCTTTTCCTTTTCTTTCCTAACCTAAACTGCATCCAAAGCAAGTCTTTTTTTTTTTTTTTAAGACTTATTTATTTAAGCATACAAGTACTGGGGTGTAGGCCAGAGGTGTGTGTGGGGGCTGGGGAGGGGTGAGATGATTCACCAGAGACAGAGTGGCAGCAGAACAAGCAGACTGACTGAAACACATTGCTGAGTGGAGCAGCGGGTGAGACAGGAGAGGTCTGCTGTGCCATGTGGGTCAGTTCCTTGGCTAGGGATCGAACTCATGCTGCAATGGCTGCCAATAGCTTCATAGTGCAGAGACTTAACCCCTTGTGCCACCGGAGAGGTCCCAAAGCAATTCTTATATTTTATTCATTGGCCAAAAGGTAAATGGGAAGAAATCAAACTGCAAATTTTATTATAATTAGCAATTTGTTTTGCATTATCATTACATATCACACAATAAAACAGAGCAAATTAATCATATTAGCTCTGTTCTTTCCAAATCTGTGGAAAGAGTGAAAGGTCTGCCACTCACCTAAAATGTCTGCTATTACCTAAAAGAAGTTAGGTAACTTACGTTAATGTAAACCCCACAAATACTTCAGTGTTCACTGTCCAAATCTGACTGTACTGGGTATGTTTTCTTAAGGAGAAAATAAGAGCTGGGGAGAACAAATGGAGCGTGTGTTCTGATGAAGGCAAGCGTGATGAGATTGATTTAATGGGTCTGAGTTAGACTTCATGGCTGGCAGTGGAAAAGGGGAGAATTGTCATTAGCATAATTAACGTTTACTGGGAACTTATTAGGTAGTAGGCACTGAGTGCTTTCTGAAGTGGAATGATGTAGGTACAGTCATTAATGTCCCTTTCCTAGGTGAGGAAACCAATCTTTAACAGAGTTCTTACCCAAAACTACACATTGGTAAATCTAGGATTAACTTCTACTAACTGCAATTGACTCCAAAAATCATACTTATTTACTGATTTATAATTGGCAAAAACTTGGAGAAAAGCTTTAAAGATGGAGAGGTTATTTTAAGAAAGGTGGACATGTGGTTTGAGAAAGAGGCTTTTTTAAAAAAAAGATTTATTTATTTATGCATACAAGAACTGGGGTACAGGCCAGAGGTGTGGGGGGTGAGAAGATTCAACAGAGACAGAGTGGGGAACAGAACAGGCAGAATGACTGAAAAGCACTGCTGAGGGGAGCAGCGGGCGAGTCAGGAGAGGTCTGCTGCCCCATGTGGGTAGCTCCCTGGCCAGGAATCGATCTCGTGCTGCAGTGGCTGCAGATAGTTTCATAGGTTGCCTCTTAACCCCTTGCACCACCAGGGAGGGCCGAGAAGAGGACTTTTTAAAAATGAATGAAATAGCTAGAGCAGGGCCTTGATGCTACATGGAAACACTGAGTAAATTTCCTCTTCAATGGGTGAATGTAGGTTTATCACCCAGAATAGTCCCAGATACACTCAACACACGTGCACTTTGGTATCAGAATGCTGGTAGCAAAACCTGAAAACAATGAAGCGGAATCTCACCTCAGAAAATAAAGGTCTGGAGATAGGAAGACCTGACCCGTCAGAGGGGCTCAAGGAACTCCTGAAAGACGGGGCTCCTCTGTCTTCCTTTGACATCATTGTGGCCACAAGGTGGCTGCTGCTCTCTAGGCACTGCGTGCACATTTCAGACAATAAGAAGGACAAACAGGGAGAAGCAGAGCCTTCATTGAATGAGATTTTCGTTTTGATTTGGTAAAAGACTCCCTGATGAGATATTTCACTTACCTCTCATTAGATACCCAGTAAGCCAGAGAAACATATTTCAGTAGAACACATTGCCACCCTGAACAAAATGGGGTTCTGTTCATCAGGACAGAAGGAGGAATGGATATTGGAGATGGGAAGGTGGAAAGTCCATGAAAAAATAAGTTTAAAATAATAAGAGTAGGGCCTCCCTGGTTGCGCAGGGGTTTAAGACATAGCACTATCGAGCTGTCATCAGCCACCATAGCACGAGTTCGATCCCTGGCTGGCCAGGGAGCAACCCACATGGGGCAGCAGACCCCTCCTGTCTCGCCTGCTGCTCCCCTCAGCAGTGTATTTCAGTCAGTCTGCCTGTTCTGCTCCCCGCTCTGTCTCTGGTGATTTCTCTCACCCCCTGCATCTCTGGCCTGCACCCAGCTCTTACATGCATAAATACATAAATCTTTGAAAAAAAAATAATGAGTATGAACAGGGCTAATGAAATAAGCAATTTAAATCATACTGATTGTTCTCAGATTTTACAAAAAAATCATCAAGACATCTATGAAAGACAAAACTCAGGCTGATCATTAATATTTTAACAATGTATTTTCTAAGTAAGGGAAATAAGATTCCTCCTTAAACTACAGCGCTTTCATGTGGAGTCAAAACCAACACTATTTCAAATGGCCAGGTACTTTGACGCTCCCTCCAGGGCGCATAGCCCTCCCACCAAAAGTAAACGCAGATTCCTTTGAATGCACAATTGCTATGATTTCAAAAAGTGGAAAACTCTTGGGATTAAATTTTGGAGGTAAAATCTGAGTGACAAAGTCATAGTAATTCCTGATTCAACACCAAGAAATACATCCCAGTGCTCTGCAGTCTTGTAGACTGGTTCCCAGTTTCAAATGCCTTAACACAGGTCAGGTGGGTGGAGCCCAGCAGGTTTGAGACTGTTAGTATTGTACTTTGTTTCAGGAAAGACTTGTTCCCGCAAAGCACACCTAATGAAAACCCGATACTGGCTTCAGGACACGTCCAAGAGCACCTTTCTTCCAACAAACAGGTGTAGAGTAAGGTAAAAGTATCAGGCTTTTCTGCCCTCCCGCCATTAGCATAGATGACTGAACCCTGCGGTCCTGAATGCATGCCTGGTGGCAGGCACCTGGAGTGGGGTGTGGGCATAGGTAGATGGGATTCACCTGGGCTGAGACTGGGCTTTTCAGGGCGGCGTCACGGGGACGCCAGCAGAAGCTGAGAGAGAAGCAGAGAGAAAGCCGGAGAGCCCAGATAGAGTGAAGACTTGCTCGGGGCTGGGAGGCCTGCCAGCCTCCCAACAGCCCCCTCCCAGCACCTCTGCCTGCCGTGTGCCTGGTAAATCCCAACAAAAGCCTGCAAAAAGCCACAGAGGGCTCCAGGACTCTCTTCTCCTTTACCAGGTCTGCTGGATCAGAAAACCTGCACTGCGTCCTTGCTGCAGCTACACAGTGTGAAAATTCCTGCTAGCCAGGAAAGACTGATGTGCCGGGGGTCACCAACTCCACCTTGAAGGTAGTTAAAATGCAGGAGAAAAAGTGTCCTGCAGCAGGTATGGATGGGGTCAACGGCGTCAATACACCCCGTCACGTGGGAAGAGAAAACCGGAGTCTCTTTCCCGCGCTGGTAGAAGATGGGCGGGGCGTACAGGCCACACCCCCTCGCCCCGCCCCTCGCGAGTGGCCCCGCCCACAGAGGCTCCGGAGAACGCGGCCTCCCGGGGAGCGCGGGCCGGGGGCGGGGCTCAACCTTGCCCCGGGTCCCGCGGGCTCCGCCAATCAGCGAGCGCCCTGTTGGCTGTCCGCGGCTCCGCGCCCCTCCCCCTCCCGCCGGCCTCCGCGTCCCAGAATCCAAGATGGCGGGGTCCAGGCGGTGGGGTTCCCGGGCCGGAGCGCGGCCTCTCCTCTGCGCCCTGCTGCTGTCGCTCAGTCGGTTCGTCGGCGGCGACGGCACGGGAGGCGACCCCGCGGCCGCCGGCGGCGCCAGCACCCCGGCCGCGGCGCCCCATCGCCGCTTCGAGTATAAATACAGCTTCAAGGGGCCGCACCTGGTGCAGAGCGACGGGACCGTGCCCTTCTGGGCCCACGCCGGGAGTGAGCGGGGCCGGGGGCGGGGGGCCGGGGTCCCCTCCCGCCGTGCGCCCACCCCTCTCCACGCCCCCCCCCCCGCACACCCCTGCGCTGTGGAGGGGACCCTGCTCAGCAGCCCTTCTGCAGGCCGGCTCTGGTCCTCCAATCCCCACCGCTTGCCAGCCCCTCTGAGCCCCCTATCCTGGCCGCCCCCCTTCCTCGTGCCCCCCGTTCTTTGATCTCTTGGGTTCTTTCCGTATGATCTAGAGGTGTTTTGTTACTTGCTGCACTTGCCTTAAACCCGCTTGTAGGCATCGTGTTTCACCCTAACTCCACGTCTCCAGGGGAGACATCCCACACCCCCTTCCGTCCCAGCCTCATACCTGCTCCAGCAGCCCCCCGACTCCTTGTCCGCTTTCTCGGGGCCCTCCCCCGCTTTCTTTTCTCGGATATTAGCAGTGGGTAATGCTCAGGTTGTTGTGCATGCTCCCTGAAGACCCCAGAGATGGCATATGGTGCTTACATAGTAATTTAAGTCTTCATGTCAGAGGACATTCTTGTCCTGTTTGAACTGCACCTTACATTTGCCTCTCTTGGTGACTTGGTGTAGGTCTTTGAGCTTTTCTCCTGTGTTAACACGTTATGTAACTTATAGTCACATTCCCTTGAGTTAATAGAAGGAAAATATTTGCTGGTAGTGGTTTCTGAATCTTGAGAGGAAGGATAGCATATCTACAACCTTTGGGGGGGATTAAGGGGTTGAAATAACCTATGCCCCATATTTTTATTCATTCTGTGTGTTTATCACGGTTAGTAAGTAATAGAGCCTTGCTAGACATTTACATATGTGAAACTAAACACATCTACTTTTTAGTGCTGATGTGTCACTGCTGACTAAGGAATCAGCCTTATACTTGGCATGCTATAAGTTCTGCTCAGTGACCATCGGGTACACTCTTAGAAACAAGCATAGAATGCCTTTCTGTAGGGTGGCAATTGGAACTCCATTTTTATGTGTAATTAAGCAATCATTTATTTAAGATTTGTATACAAAAGATTCCATGTCTGGAAAGTAATTACTGAATAGGAGGCACATTTTTAGGAAGGACCATTTCACTGAAATTAATGTGTAATTAAAAGGTGCAAATTGCAATTTGACTTAATGACCAAGTCATTAAGTATTTGAAGTACAGTGCAATTATTTTGTTACTCAGCAGACATGCATTATATGCCCTCTGAGAAGGGAATATTATTGGGCTTTTTTTTTTTTTTTTATAATCAAGGCAACATTGTTTTTACAAAGATGATGTGGGTGTACCAGACACAAGTTTGGGGACTTTCTGTTTTTCTTTTAGTAGCGATGATGCATTTTTCAGCAGTGGTGATGAATTATTTCACTTCTGCACCTCCTTGCCTGCTTGCTCTTCTCTTTCTCTCTCTCACTTATATGAGCCAATTAGGAATGTTATTCAGTTACTCAAATTAGTTACCATAAATTTCTTTACAGAGCTTGCTACCAGTTAAGCCATCTCCTGGGGGAAATGCCAGATAATATACCTGATGATTTAAAGTTGTATGGCTAGACTGGGTTTAAAATAAGGAAATTAGTATTCTAGCTACTACCTACTGGCTCTGGGAATCGCTGCTGTGGCTCTCTTCCTTCCCTTTGATGGGACTGGGATTTTTACAGTCTCACTCTTCTTAATTGATCATTTTTTTCCCTTTTCATTTTTTCCTGAACTCCATTACTTAAAACAATTCTTAAAGTAGAGAGATTTAAAATTACAAATAGTACTTTATATTCATCCCCAAATGAAGAAATATGGTGTTTCTCTTTCTTAACTCTAATGACCTTTTAGTACTGTCAGTACACATCCTTGGGTCCATAAGGGCAAAAATGATAACAGCCATTAGTAATCCTTTATAGGCCTCAGAGTTCTTTCACCTTCCTTCTCTGATTTGAGCCTTACTAGTAAGGCAGGTATCACCTGTCTTTAGATGACAATGTTCAGAAAGATGACATAGCTAGTGTAGAACAGAACTCAAATCCAGGTATTCTGGGTCTGTGTCCCGCACTCTTTCCAGATGTCTGCCTCCCAGCCTTTATGCGTTGAAAGTGATGGTGACAAATAGTGATCTTACCAAAGTATCTCAGAGTGTCTTTTCATCCATTTTTTTTTTCCTACCTGTGAAAAGAAAATTCAGTCATATCCCAGCATGAATGTTAGAACGGGTTAATATCTGAGAGGGCATGCCAGAACGGTTCAAATTTAGGCCTGATAAGTACCTTAGTAATTATCTAGTTCAATATTAGGAATGCTAACATTTATTCAGGTATTTATATGCACTTATGTAAGAACTTGTATGCTTATGAGGTTATTAGAACTAGAGTAACTTGTCTATGATCAAAGAGTCAGTAAATGGTATATTTGGGACTTGAACCTATCTTGGAGGAGGTGATGTGAACCATTTGGAGGATCATTATTTTCTGAGAACCTGCTCACACTGAAATTGACTTGAAATTCAGTTGACCCTGGAAGAATATATATACACAAGGCTCTGCATATAACTTTTAGCATGTATGTGGAAGTGATTGAGCCTAGCTCCTTTGTTTTACGGTGAACATATGGTGAACCCCCATAAGAGAATTATTTGCTCAAAACCACACAACTGAACTGAAACTAGAAATAAATCTTTTGATTTTTTTTTATGGTATGTTCTTTTCACAATCTGAACTTTCCTAACATTTGTAAACAGAAAAAACATTGCAGTTTTTAAAAAATAATATGCAACTCTTTTATGTCTTTGAAAGAGAATATTTTGACAATCAAATGGTTGGTTTGCTCTTTAAGCTATAATTTCCTTCCTTCTGTCCCTTGAATTTTTAGTGTATGGTTGTAGCTTTATTTATTTATTTTTTACAGAGATGTTTTACTTTTCAGAAGATAAGGAGGTGATCAAAAGCCCTAAAATTTTCAGTGATGAAACTGTAACTGTAATATTTTTTCATAACACAATTATTTTACAGATTACTAAGTTAAAATTAGGTATCTATAGGTATGTGTAACAGTTTGGCAATGGTTCATTGAATTTTACCTAATTATAACTTAAAGCTTTTCTTCCCTGATTTGTGTTATAGATGCTATTCCAAGTTCAGATCAAATTCGAATAGCACCATCTTTAAAAAGCCAAAGAGGATCAGTGTGGACAAAGACAAAAGCAGCCTTCGAGAACTGGGAAATCGAGGTCACTTTTCGAGTGACAGGAAGAGGTCGAATTGGAGCAGATGGCCTGGTATGATCATTTCTTTAACTTGAAAGAATGTACATAAGTGCACAAAAGCCTCTAAATGTTTCCTTTTATATATTTACAGGCAGTTTGGTATACAGAAAATCAAGGCTTGGATGGTCCTGTGTTTGGATCAGCTGATATGTGGAATGGTGTTGGAATATTTTTTGATTCTTTTGACAATGATGGAAAGGTATATTTGTTGTTACCTACTTTAATGTATCTGCTAACAAAGTTAATTTGTAAAAAATTTAGCTGACTTAACACTTCTGTCAGTTTAATTGTAGAGTACCTCTCAGGCTGTAGTTTCATTTAGAAGGTTAGTCTTTATATAGTTGGGATTTTTATAGATTTAAAGGTTGACAGCATGATTTGTCATGCACCAACTTGAGGTGATAATGAAACTGTAACTCAGAACTTTGCACCACCTTGTGTGTGCTTAGGAATTTGACAGATAAACATGATTCTTTTTTTTTTTTATTTTTTAAAGATTTATTTATTGATTTATACAAGCACTGAGTACAGTCAGAAGTATGGGAGGGTGAGAGAATTCACCAGAGCCAGAGGGGAGAGCAGAGCAGGCAGATCGATGAAGTACACTGTTGAGGGGAGCAGCGGGTGGCAGGAGAGGTCTGCATGCCATGTGGGACCCTTGCCCTGGCGGCTGGGTATTGAACTGGCGCTGCAGAGGCTGTGGGCAGCTTCGCAACCCAGCACTCAACTGCTGCACCACCGGGGAGGCCCCAAACATGATTCTTTTAGGTTTAGGCAATGAAACTAGTAGTGTTTAGAAGACTCTTACAGTTTGTTTTCAAGAAAATAACCATGTGCATTACTACTGTTAGCTGGCATATTAATATCTTTTTATATGTTAATAATTTGTTTTGATCAGTCATTTTCTCTGATGGTCCCTCCTAAATGAGTTAAGAACAAAATACACTTTTTATTGGGAACATTACCTGTGCTTTGGCAGCTGTATGATTAATGATCTTTGTTGCAGCTCAGTGTTTAGATAATGATTTTTCAGAGGTCATTATTAGCAATTTAAAGGAGAACTTTAATGATCCTGGATGCTGAGGCCATGTTAGTCCTCCTGTAACTAAGCTGCTATTAAGTCCACTCTTGTGCATGCTCACTGTGTTCTCAAATATATGTTCAGTTTGATTATTCAAGGATAGAGCACAACATCAGACTTTATTGAGATATTAAGTGACTATTTTTGAATGATTCTAATTTACTAAATTTCTTCTAAATAAGTAGAAATCTCTTGTAAATAAGTAGAAATCTCTTGTATTGTTTTAAAATTTTGAGTCCTGGAAACTTAGAGATGTAAGCGACCTGACAGCACATCTAAAATGATTAAATTTTTTTTTTTGATTTAAGGACTTTAAAACATTTAAATACATTTTATTTTTTAGAAAAATAATCCTGCTATAGTAATTATAGGCAACAATGGACAAATCCATTACGACCATCAAAAGTAAGTGTGTGTTTCTTAAATTATTACTGATGTCAGCTTCTCTTTGAAAGCTTTAGAAAATGTTTCAAGTCTGAATCTCTTCCTAATGAAATAAGATTTTTTTATTTAAAGATGTATTTTGTAACTTAGTAGAAATGTATTTTAATTTGGGTCTGCTTTAATGTTCTTTCTGTGGGCCATCTGAAAGTTCAGGCATGAAAATGTTATTTAGCTTAAAATGACTTAATTCTTTTAAAGGTTTATAAAATGTTCCTGGCTCTCAATGATGCCATTAGCCATGTTTTTTCATCTTTATTAAAAAAAAATCTTTAAAAATAAGTTTCAGAGCCTTCACCAAACTAATGACTAAGCAGTTGATACTACCTCATCTTTCCTTAAAGATTCTCAAAGCCCCAAGTATTCAGTATAATGTTTATAAATTAGATGTGTATATTTTTTATTTTTACATGTTTGTTATGAAAGGAGTTACTTTTTTAGCCAGTGAGTGAGCTAAGGAAATTTACCTATCTGTGCTGCTGTTCGCTGTTTCTGAGCTCTGTCACTTTCAGCCCCGGTGGTGATAGTTCACCACAGCTACTTGTTGTGGAGCTATTTAAAATAGAGATGTCTAGGCCTCCTCCTTGAGATTTTGCTTTAGTTGATTTAGGGCAGATCTAGGAATCTACAAGTTTTAAAAGCTCCCTGTGGAGTTCTGATTCTGCCCTGGGTCGAGAGCTACTGCCCTAGTCTCATGGAGGACAGAACTTTCCCGGTGCCACCAGCACTCAGTGATGTCAGGCTCCATGCATCCAGAGTCCTGACAGGAGTCAGAGGAAAAACTTGTGCATCAGTGTTTTGTCCTCTGAATAAATGGCTTCAAATATCCCTTCAAACAATAAGTTCATAGTATTTTCATCTTCTTAGACATTAATCATTTTAAATAGTGAGGCTCTTAAGTTTCCTGTTTGTTTTCCTTTCCCTTGGGCTATAGTGATGGTGCTAATCAAGCCTTAGCAAGCTGCCAGAGGGACTTTCGAAATAAACCTTATCCTGTCCGGGCAAAGATTACATATTACCAGAAAACACTGACAGTAAGTAACATGCTTTAGAGATAATTACATGAACAGTCATCTGGTGTGACTTTTCATTTTAAATCTTTGATGAAAATTACATGCATTAAATTTGTATATTGTTCATCATTGGTACTGTAAGTGAACAGAATTAGCTTTAGAGCTTAGTCTAAGTGGCCTCATGTTGTAAAACCTTGCCAGTAGGTCATTTAGTCAGTAAAGGTTTAGGCTCTACATGATGTAAATATCCAAGTTTTCAAGATAGAAGTATGAGTAAGACAGGTCGTATTTTCCAGAGAGCTTATAGTCAGTAGTGGAGACACTATGTAGCATTACTATGCTACATGATAAATGTTTCAGCACAGACACTACTAAGGGATTAGGGGTTAAAATTCTATGACACTGGCAAGTGAGAGAGGGAAAAAGTTTCTTAGAGTTGAGCTGCACCTTGAGGGGGAAGAAGGAATTTCCTAGATGGGGGTGCCTATTCTGAGCAGAGAAAACAGGCATCGGGACTTGAGAGAAGGTGAAAAATTGGGGAAAGGCAAGTGGCTTGGTATGACTGAAGGATAGAGGAGATCCATGGGAAGTGAGCGTGAAAGGAGGCAGTGATATCTTGTATACCTCATGAAGTTTATCCATTAAGGAACTGTTTAAAGAGTTTAAAGCAGAAAAGTGAAATGATAATATTTGCAGTGAGGAAGATGACTTAGGCATCAGGGTTCTCACAATGGTATTTATGAAAGGAACAAAGGATGCAGTGATTTAGACTCCTTGATTCTCAGTGGCTCATACTTTACATGCAGTTTCACATTTATTCTTTCCACCAACCCTGTAGGGTAGGCATCTTCATTCTCTACACCATAGAGAAATTCAGTGTGGGAGATTTTGTAACTTGGGCAGTGTCAGACCCAGTGAGTAAAAGAACTATGATATAAGCCCAACAGTTTCTTAATTTCAAGACCCTGCGTGTGGTCTGAATTCAGGGAAAGGAAAGATGGTGCAATGTTGATTAGGAGATAGAGACTTTAGTGCGGCAGGCTGCACCTCCCATGCTGTCTCTTGACATGGTCCGGGCATTGGGGAGACTCCCTAGAAGCGGGGAGTTTCTGTGCTCCCCGGAAGAGGGAAAGTTGTACTTCCCAGAAGAGGGGAGTTCTTGCACTTCTCAAAGAAGATCTGAACTAGGGAGTCTCCATGGCAACGCCTGCTAAAGCTCTCCTCTTTGTTCTTGGTTAATGCAGAAGTTAGTCATTAATTGGCATATGAAAACCCAATTGGGACCTAGACCTAGACGTTAATTGATTTGTTATTCTTACACCTGAATTAGTATCAAAGAAAGTAAATAATGCAAAAGGTATAGCTAGGAAAGAAATGTTCCCGCCCTGAGAACTATGGAGAACAAGCTGCCCTGAACCAACTGTGCTTGGAAGCCATAACCTGACACCTGGGGAGGGGGGGTGGGGGTGCATGTTTGCACCAGCAGTACATTTCCTGGTGTTTGCAAGAGGTCAATAGTTCGCAGGCCCTGTGGAGGTTAGGAATTTCTAGTTAGGAGTTAGACTTCAGTAGAACTTACTTAGATATGATGAGTTATTTCAGACCACTTTGAAGTAATCAATTTATTAACCAAGTTAATTGAGCGCTAGGAGAGAGAATGATTTTAGTAATTGAATATAGAATAGGAATTTTACACCCACTTTATAACTGAGAAAGTTTAATTGATGCCAAATGTTGTGCTGTCATGTATGATTGATCATGTTAGTAAATGAGCTGTACCTAGGAAACTAATTGTTCTTAAGGTTACCAGAGAATTGCCCTTTAGGTGTGAGACCTAGGGAGTCTTTGCATGTTCATGAGAAAATATGTATTGATTGTTTCTGTTCTGCCTCAATGCTTACACTGCTGTAATCCCACCGCTCGCCTTAAGGTATAAATAAAGACCCGCTGAGACCCTCAGCAGGAGATACTTGCACCAAATAAGGTGTCTGTGTCTTCCTCACTCCTACCTTGCTCCACTTCCCCTCAGCCCTCCGAGAGAAAGGGAAAAAGATTTTTCACCGACTCCGTCCTCTCCTTTCTGAGATCCCTGACACGACTTCTAGCTGGAGCTGGTCTCCAGCACTATAGGACTTAGCACTAGTTTGCTTGGGCCTGGGGGTGAATACAGTTGTGGAGTGAGAGATCCTGAATTTCAGGACAAGTGTAGCAACTAAGTGATTCAGCTAATTAGCCAAGAAGCACGTATTTGTGTTCGTTTGAGGGAGGGATGGGAAGACAGAGGGCTTGTAATGAGTTTAGTTGTAAACAATTTGAGCTTAAGGTAATATTTAGGTGGATCTATTCAGCTGTCAATTACAGTAACTAAGATCACAGTGCAGTGCCAACTTTGCTTTTTTTTTTTTTTTTTTGTGGGACCCTCGCCGGCGGCCAGGGAACGAACCGGCGCTGCAGAGGCTGCGGGCAGCCTTGCAGCCCAGCGCTCAACCACTGTGCCACCAGAGGAGGCCCGCCAACTTTGCTTTTTAAAGATTACACAATACTTAGACTTGATTACATAATACTTAGAAGTAAAGAATATCTTGTTTGATTTTTATCTTTTCCCTAAATTACAAGCTAACCTCATACTCCTCCATATAACACTCTGAAAAAGGAAATTCTTTGAAAAACCTTATATTAGCTCAGTCTTAAATTCCAAATTTATACATTTCAAAATAGAGGAAGAGTCCAGCCTATTATGATTGACTTGGCTTTGAGTTCCTCTGTACTTGTTGCACATCTGTACATTTTCATTAGGATCATCATTGAGTCACACTTCATAGGACAGAGCGCAGACACTGGTGTGGCAGATGCAGGCGCACGGTGCTCATGGTTGCAGACTGTGAGCCCTATCCCAGTTTCCAGAAATAGTTGGATGATTGTATCCTTCCAGTGCAGACCTTATTATACCTGTGTTCCTCATAGTCTCCAATCTTGTACTCAAGAACTGTTTATGAAGATAGTACTTAAAAATATATATAATATTTAGCTTGTCCCAGTTGTTTCACCATTGGAAGTATCTTGTTCCTGCCAGTTACTGTGTATGACCAGGAAGACATGCTGGCAAAAAGGTAGTCAAAACAAGAGACTTTGTATCTTGCAAGTGCAATGTTTAACAATAAGTTGAAACTAGAGGATGAATAAGAATGTCACTGATGGTCTCAAACGAATGTTACTGGCATTAATCAGTGGCTGTTTTGTACCTGTGTAGTCACAGTCCTGATGTTCCTCCACACTTAAAGTACGATGACTACACTGTGTCCCTTCTTTAATTTAGAGTTAGAACTTGACAATAAGAAAATTTAAGGAAAAAACACTGAACAGTCGAAAGTGTTTAATTTTGTAATTCGCTTGTGATTAACTTGTTTGTTTTTTAGCTCAGAGACAGATGTCTTACTGGTTGTTGATTTTGATTCGAAAGACTTCAGAGGTGTGCCAGTGGTGAATGATAAAACTGAAATAGGAACATCACTGATCAGAGGAAACAGTTGATGAATATTAGTCAACTGAACGGCAGGTGATTTTAGAAAATTGGTAGCACTTCACATGTTTTCATTATGGAGAGATTAACGCTTCATAATGAAAAGTGTTTTATTATCTTACTATCTTGCTAAAAAATGTTACAGTAGGGCATTTCCCCTGTGTGACTCCAGTATCACACTCAAAACTTTACGTCTGGAAGTAATGATGGAATTGCTCTTACCCTGGTGCAGAGTAGAAACTCACATGTTAGTTTTTTCACTTTCTGCCTTTTTATCAGTACGACTTCTGTCACTTTTGCTATCTCTGCTAATTTATGGCAGTTCAGTGAGCTTACTAGTTAAAGGAAGAGAAGCGAATGACCTGTAAGGCACTCCATTATCAGTTTGAAAAAGGTCACTGTTTATTGACTGAGCAGACAGGAATGATCATGGTAGATATCCTGGTTCATTCTTCTAATTAGGGACTCTAATTCTCAACCAATGAAAATTGTAAATTCAGCCTATTTTAATTCTGTCACTGGGTCTCAGAAAAAGGCTTCTTCCTCTTATGGATGAACCATTAGCGAAGGCAATCGTGTCTCCCTAAAGTGAACCATATTCTGTTTTCATACAGATTTTCATGTAACACGATCAGCGCTTTCTCTGTAAGCCTTTGCTGCGTAGTAGGACAAAAACCATCTTCTTAACTGACGGTTCTTGTTTTAATGATACTAAGTGAGGAACAAGGGATTACCTTTATGATATTCAGAGAAAGCGGCTACCTTTTTGATAGTTGGTTATTATATCCAATGTAAAGATTAGATAGTTTTAGTCCTAAACTGGGTACTTGAATTTCATCTTACTGTGTCTATTGTGAAAGCTGTAACTTCAGTCTGTCTTTCTAGGTAATGATCAACAATGGCTTCACACCAGATAAAAATGATTATGAATTTTGTGCCAAAGTGGAAAATATGGTTGTCCCAGCCCAAGGGCATTTTGCAGTATCTGCTGCAACAGGAGGGCTTGCAGGTAAATCTTGATCTCTTTTAATATTAAAAGGTTGTGATTGAGTTTTATGGGGAATGTTGTATTTTGGAGATGTGCAGACTTTTTTACTTAAACCTTTTAAGTCTAATTGTAAGCTCCCTGTAATCTGTAGTGCCAGTCTTTTGCTCTTAGGACTGCTGATTCTCTACTGACATTCTGTAGGTACACAGCCCTGGTCGTCTAGGGCTCCCTATAATCATGTCTGTTAGCGCTTCAGTTTGGCTGCTGTTTTATAGTGAAGGAGTCATATTTAAAGTTGAAGCTCTAAATGGTTAATTGCCAAAAGTTATGGGCACCTCAGAATTGTCATATTATATTTAAATGAGTTTGGTAGCCTGAGAAAATATTACTGGGACTAAACCTTAAGCTATATTTACCATTTTTTTCCTGCATGTGGTGATACATAAGCTTATCATTTGATATTCATGCCACCTTATGTTTATCTGGTGCTGTCTATGATATTATTTCCAGATACATGAATTGTTCTTTACAATAACACAGGGAGGGAGAGAGTATACATTGTGCTTACAATTTTCTCTAATCTGGCTACATTTGTAGACCTGCAAAATATGACAGCTAGCATAGAGATTGCCACACAGCTTGAATTAAGTTCTCTGGCTTTATGGATGTGACTAGGCAGGATTGGCATTTTAATTCAGTGTTAAGTAGTTTGCTTTGTGATGCCCTGTTTTCAGTTTAAACAGTTTGAAATTAATTTGCTTTTTTAATACTATTTTAGATAAAATGAAACTGTTAATATAAGGAAATCAAATTGGGATGATGTACAGCTAGAGCAATCATTATCCAACTGAGGATGCTATGAGAAGAAAAGGGATGCTTTTAGTGCGAGGACAACATGGATAAATCAGGACTGTCCCAGTAAGTCAGGACAGGATAGTATCAACTTTGTAGAAAGAAAGTGAGGCCAAAAATAGCAGGTGCTATAAGAAACCCTCAGAGACAGATAAGTTCAGGAAATACACGAAAGACAGAATTTCATGTTATCCAGCTAGGACATGAACGAGATTTGTGGGGAAATATGGTAGGATCTTGGTGCCACAATTAGGAGTTTGGACTTGTTTGACCATTGATTTATGTGTTCGTTGCCTTGTCAGACATTTAGTAAGCACCTGTCATATGTGAAGCCCTGCTAATTGTTCTAGTTTAGTATTTAAGAAAATGAATTTTAGCTTTTTTTAATGTAAATCTTTCAGATGAATGTCTGTCTCCAAGCTCACGAAGCACTATTGTCTCCACCAAATTAGCTACTTTTTTGCTATTTTCCTTATGTTTATTATATTTTTATTTTTTTAATTTGTAGATGATCATGATGTCCTTTCTTTTCTGACTTTCCAATTGACTGAGCCTGGAAAAGAACCAGTAAGTATAAACATTTTTTTCAAAAAATGTATTTGCAGTTTGGTGATACTGCATTGGAGCTGAAAATTTGGGAAGACTGAAGTTCACATCTTGAAGTTCGCATCTTGTTTCTGCCGGTTGCGTGTTTCTGCCAGTTGTGTGTGGCCTGGCGCAGGCTGCTCTACCTGAGACACACTGTGCCGCAGATGCTTGTGCTGCCTGCCTCATGGCGTCCTAAGCATTAGATAACAATGCACTTGTAGCAAACAGTAAGTGGCCTGACTGTGATTTTGTGGTATTGTAATTATTCATAACAAGGCTAAATTTAAATAAGAGATAACATTTTAAAATTAACTTTTCAACTAGTGGTGATGTTAAGAAAAAAAAGAACATATGTTAAGATTTATCTTTTTTTCTTTTTTTTAAGCCTACAGCAGACAAAGACATTTCAGAAAAAGAAAAGGAAAAGTATCAGGAGGAATTTGAGCACTTTCAACAAGAACTGGATAAAAAAAAAGAAGAATTCCAGAAGGACCACCCCGACCTGCAGGGACATCCAGGTGTGGCATAGTGAGGCTTTCTCAACTGCAGCAGGAGCCGTGGCACCTGCATCCCACTCTGCCCCTGCACACTTTATGTTATTGCTGGGAACAACTTATGAGCAAAGCTTCCATCTTTAAAGGACCTGGAGATAGAGGTTTTTACCAGTGAGCATGTGCTTTAGTGGGTTGTGCAGTGTGGAGTACCATGGTCCAGTGGAGCAGCTTTGAACTACGGGGTGTAAGCTCCAAGGACAGGGGCTGTATTTACTTCTGTGACCCTTAAACCTAGAAACAACATTGCTGATCTAATAGTTAAGACTTAGTGAAATCATCCAAGGTTTATTTCTTCCCTTCTGGTGGCACACAATTACCTTATTAAGGTAGAAATAACACTTGAAAACTACCAAAACTATTACAAGTAATGTTAGTGATTATCTGGCTCCCCTTACCGTTCAGCAGAATTCTGAACTTTAAATATTTACTTTAGATATTTTAAAATATTGGTTTAAGCCAGTGTAATTAAGAACTTAAGTGTGCTTAAGTAGCACATCAAAAATGAAATATTTATTAAGACCAAATAGAGTGACTTCATTTTATTTGCTAGCTTTTCTTACTGGATTATTCTCCAGCAGTTCAGATGATCAAGGCTTATTAAATAAAGCCTGGGGCTAACTTTTGAACTCTCTGTAGTATATAATTCTTTTAATGATCAGCAAGTATGATTCAGACTTAATGAAGAAAAAAATGAAAGATATATTTCTTTTCTTGGATTTGTTGAAGCATTACATATGGGTATATCCTGAAGCATTGTAGTAAGCAAATGAAATTATCTGTTTTCCGTGTGTTCAGGTATAAAAGGAAAATCACTTGTTCTTGACTCCTTTATCCTTTACATGCGTAAAATGTACCAATTTTAAGTGGATAGTATGAAGAATTTTGACATGTGTATACGTGTTTAACTGTCACCCAGATCAGTGTACAGAATATTATCATTCCAGAAAGTTTCCTCAAGCTCTAATGTCAAACCTCACCCTTCTTGTCTCTCCCCAGAAGCAACTGCTGTCCTGGTTCTATTGGCATAAATTAGTTCTGCCTGTTCACATAAATAGAATTTGGAAGAGAAAATGACTTTTAGGTTTTATTTATTTTTTAAAGATTTATTTATTTATGCATACAAGAACTGGGGTACAGGCCAGGGATTTGGGAGGTGAGAGGATTTACCAGAGAAAGTGGGGAACAGAACAGGCAGATTGACTGAAATATACTGCTGAGGGGAGCAGCGGGCGAGTCGGGAGAGGTCTGCTGCGCCATGTGGGTCACCTCCCTGCCCGGGGATCGAACTTGTGCTGCAGTGGCTGTGGGTAGCTTCATAGTGCTGCATCTTAACCCCTTGTGCAACAAGGGAGGCCCAACTTTTAGGTTTTTTTTTTTTTTTTTTAAGATTTATTTATTTATACAAGCACTGGGTACAGTCAGAAGCGTGGGAGGGTGAGAGAATTCACCAGAGCCAGAGCAGAGAGCAGAACAGGCAGACAGACAAAGTACACTGCTGAGGGGAGCAGCAGGTGGCAGGAGAGGTCTACGCACCACGTGGGACCCTCACTCGGTGGCCGGAGATCGAACCGGCGCTACAGAGGCTGAGGGCAGCTTCGCAACCCAGCGCTCAACCACTGTGCCACTGGGGAGGCCCACCAACTTTTAGGTTTAAAAAAAAAATCAGACCTCTTAAAATAAATGTTCAGCCCCCAGAGATTGGGGGGAGGGGAGGGGAGGAGATCCAGTAATTTAATATGGTTGTGTTAATTATCTGCATATATATTGTTTGGGTGATCTAATTTTAGTATATGTTGGCACTTAAAATTAGGTGGTGTTCTAATTTTAGTATATGTTGGCACTTCAGTCACTTCATGTATTTTGAAAATTCCATATGTGTAGGTGATTCTAATTTTAATTTGCAATTTCTATTTAGCGGATGAAATATTTGAGACTGTAGGAGATCGTGAGCTGAGACAAATCTTTGAAGGACAGAATCGTATTCATCTGGAAATCAAGCAGCTGAACCGACAGTTAGATATGATTCTTGACGAACAGAGAAGATATGTCACCTCTTTGTCAGAGGAGCTCTCTAAAAGAGGAGCAGGAGTCACAGGGCAGCAGGGACAGGTGAGCTTTCCAAGTGTGTGAATGGGCCTTGGTCAGCCTCTGATGGAGAAGTAGGAAGGACTTACTACTATGTCCCTGTAGGGTGTCGATTGTTGAGCTGACTAATCACCTTTTTTTTCCCTGCAGATCTCACAACAAGAACTGAATACTGTTGTGAATACTCAGCATGAAATTCTGAGACAAGTAAATGAAATGAAGTAAGTTTATAAAAAAAAATCTGAGTGACATGTGATGTCATTATCCTAACTTCATGGCTTCCCTATGTATGTAAGATTCCTCCATGAGGGTAGGAATCACAGTCTAGGCTCATTTTGTAAGGAGGGGAATGTGAAGTATAAGAACTTTGGGTATTTTGAAACTACAAATGTGAAAATTTTTAAATTGTTCTAAGCTAGAAAAGATGTCCTTTAGCACCTTTAAAAAAAAAAGAGATTTGTAGCAATTGCTTAACCATCAGATGTATTTGTGGAGTTCTAAAACATAAAAAGAATATGAAGTAATATGTAACAATCCTATGAAAAATTTTGTAAGGGAATAAGCTTACATGGAATTCAGGACTATAGTACAAGCATACCTAATGCAGGGAGAGCTTGGTGAGTGAAACCATTTCAAAGACTGTACCCTATGCGACCTCCACTCGGCCCATCCCCACAGGACCCTCCATGTCCTTGGACACTCAGCTCCGGGTGCCAGCTATGTCAGAGGTGTCTAGATGTGCCCCACCACGTTGCTCCCCTGCTAAGTTGGCTATCTCCGAAGGGCAGAAATTTGATTTTTATCAACATGCAAATGAATAAATGATTGAATAGCCACACATTAAGTGACAAATCCTTGTATATCAAAAATACACTTATACATAAGCAAATTCCTGCTTCTAGGAAGCAATATTCCTAAATGCTAATATGTGAGAAAATTATGTTCTGAGATGTCTATGGTCTTGGTAAGTATTTTAGGAGTATTAAAATGTAATCCTTAATTTGGGTTTTAGTGGAAAAGGTCAGACTCACATGAATTTTCTTCAGTATGAATGCCATTAGAAGAAATTGTAATCAACACATGCTTTTTTTAATTTTCCAGAAAGCATTTGAGATATTTTGTAGCAGATTTTAAAGTCTTCATTGCTCATATGTTGCAAATACAATTTTAAAAAACTTTTGTTATACTTCTTCACCCTGATGTACTATGTTATTTCTTTCTAAGTAATTCTGAAATTTAAGTTACTCTTTTTGTTTTCTTCTGGTAAACCTTTTACCTTTTTAAACTAAATTTTACTCCAGGGAAATGTTAGATAACTTACTCATCCATCCAAATTGAACTGTCAAAGGCACTTCAGGAAATCAAGAGATAGGATTAGGAGTCTGTGCTATGTGAGGGAGAACTTCCACATACACAGATAGATAGGAGGTAGGAGAGAGTGTGTGTGCGTGTTTTAATTCAAGGAGTAGTCGTTGCATTTGTCAGGGAAGACTCAGGGGAAGGAAAATGTAGAAGAAATGGAGATACTTGAACGAGGCTTTCCATTTTAGACTTCACTCTTGAAGGAAAGGGGTCAGAACTAGAAGGAGCATCACAGACAAAGGCTTAAAGTGAAGTAGGAGACAGAACTGTGAGCTGCGCAGGGCTTACGGAGACCCTTAAGGATTTTTTTTTTTAAGATTTATTTATTTATAAAAGCACTGGGTACAGTCAGAAGCACGGGAGGGTGAGAGAATTCACCAGAGCCAGAGTGGGGATTAGAACAGGCAGACCAACGAAATACACTGCTGAGGGGAGCAGTGGGCGCGGCAGGAGAGGTCTGCGCGCCATATGGGACCCTCGCCCGTGGCCAGGGATTGAACCAGTGCTGCAGAGGCTGCAGGCAGCTTGGGCAGCTTCGCAGCCAGCGCTCAACCACAGCGCCACCAGAGGAGGCCCCCTTAAGGATTTTTAAAGACTTAATGCCGGTCTCACACATACTCAGAGGTATATGGGCTAATAGTACAGTGAACCTCTGTAGCCATCAATGAGCTTCAGTAGTTGTAAGCATTTTTCCAGTCCAGTCTTATCTACAAATCCAGAAAGTTCCCAGACTTGAAGATACTTCATAATATAAATATTAATGGCATAAATTACTTGCCATTTATAGAGCTTTATGAGAACACCCAGGTAAAGCAATGATAGTTTTGAGAAGTAGAAATTCACATGTATTTCTTCCTTCTTACTAAATAGCCCAGTTATGTTTCTGTCATTACTTAGAGATCCACAATAGTCTCTACTGTGCTGCTTACAGACTCATATCCCAAGGGCATATGCAGTGGCTGCGCTCTTTATCTTACCTCTGTATATTGTAATACACTGTGCGTGGAGATACATGCTGAAATCAGTGAGTGAGGTAAGATGTTGAGTAAGGTCAAAATTACTCTTCAAGTAATACTGTGTTGGCTGCTACCGCACCATCATTCGGTATCCCCAAAAACCAGTTTTTTCCTTCATATTTCAACAGATAGATACTTCCATCTAGTCGAATAGCTAATTAGGTTTGTAAGTAGGGGCTATCTGAAGGAACTGCAGGGACAAATCACATTTGTCCCCAGGACCCAGCTATAGGGTCTGTGGTTTGCTTCAAGTACTCACAGAACCCAGAAAATCTGCCATATTCACACTTGTGTGTTACAAACACTACATACTCCCAATTACATCTCTTAATTTCGGGAAGTGTCTTTGACAGTTCAATTTGGATGGATGAGTAAGTAAGTTATCTAACATTTCCCTGGAGTAAAATTTAGATTAAAAAAGTAAAAGATTTATCAGAAGAAAACAATTCTCTCCTCCCAGTGGAGTGGCAGACAGTGACGTATGACAACATGGGCACAGAGTTGCCAACCAGGCAGTTTGCCCAGGCCTGGCATTCAGGAGTTTATTAAGTCAGTCACATAGGCATGGAACCCTCCAGTGGCTCACCTGAACTTCAGTCTGTGGCCCCTCTTAAGGTGCCAGGCAAACAGAAAATGCAAATCACACTGTCACAGATTACTTGATGTGACCCAAAACGTTCCCAGATAGACAACAACCCAGCTATTCTCTCATTGACTAGGAAGGTGTCCAGGGGCTGATCAAGGCCCGTCCTGAAGACCTTTGCAGGGTTCAAGAGCTTAAGGCTGGTGTATTCACTTTTCACTGCACACCTAGAGAGACTCAACACTTAGAAAGATTTCAGGTCATTAAGAGTACAGTCCCTTATGTTATTCAGTATCCATTTATAATATTGGTTTTAACATATTATTTAGTGTTAACTCTTATGGGTTTTTTTCCCCAATGACTTTTTTTTTTTAAAGGTTATTTATGCAGGACCTCCCTGGTGTCACAAGAGGTAAGGCAATGCACTGTGAGGCAATCCGCAGCCTCTGCAGCACGAGTTCAGTCCCCGGCTGGCCAGGGAGTGGCCCACGTGGCGAAGCAGACCTCTCCTGCCTTCCCCGCTGCTCCCCTCAGCAGTGTATTTCAGTCAGTCCGTCTGTTCTGTTCCCTGCTCTGTCTCTGGTGAATCCTCTCACCCCCCACATCTCTGGCCTATGCCCCAGCTCTTGTATGCATAAATAAATAAATCTTTAAGAAAAAAAAAGATTATGCATATAAGAACTGGGGTACAGGCCAGAGATGCGGGGGTGAGAGGATTCACCAGAGACAGAGTGGGGTACAGAACAGGCAGACTGACAGAAATACACTGCTGAGGGGAGCAGCAGGCAAGACAGGAGATGTCTGCTGCGCCGTGTAGGTAGCTCCCTAGCTGGCCGGGGATCGAACTCGTGCTACAGAGGCTGCGGATGGTTTCATAGGTTGCATCTTAACGCCTTCGCTACCAGGGAGGCCCTCCAATGACTTATAATAAAAGATAAAACATAATGTTAAGTTGTAGTTTCATAAATTATTTTTCAGTCTTGAAAACAATTCAGTTTTTGAAATACTGATTTTCTTTACTTTTTTTTTTTTAATCAAATATATTGGACTTAGAAATAGATCTCAACCATTGGAAACATTGGCATTTCCTTCATCTAAAGAATTTTTTTCTCTCAGGAACTCCATGAGTGAAACCGTCCGGCTGGTCAGCGGCATCCAGCATCCGGGCTCCGCCGGGGGCGTCTATGAGACCACGCAACACTTCAACGACATCAAAGAGCACCTGCATGTGGTGAAACGGGACATAGACCACTTGGTGCAGCGGAGTGTGGTGAGCCCTGCCCCCAGCCTCCTGCTCTCAGTCTTCTTCAGGAAGGGAAGAACAGACGCCACTGAAAATTCTACCTTTTATTTATTCTACCCTTTTAGTTAGTGCTGATTCTCATTTTTTCTTTTAAGATTTATTTATTTATGCATACAAGAGCTGGGGTACAGACCAGAGGTGTTGGGGGTGAGAGGATTCACCAGAGACAGAGTGGGGAACAGAACAGGCAGATTGACCGAAGAAACACTGCTAAGGGGAGCAGTGGGTGAGTCAGGAGAGGTCTGCTGTGCCATGTGGGTAGCTCCCTGGCCGGGAATCGAACTCGTGCTGTAGTGGCTGCGGATAGCTTCATAGGTTGTGTCTTAACCCCTTGTGCCACCAGGGAGGCCCTGATTCTCATTTTTAATAGCAAGGTAGTATTTATTCCATAGGATCTGTATGTCAGTATGGTCTACCTCATTGCTTCTATAGCCTGTTGAATGGAATGAAAAAAATAAATTGCTCTTCCAATTAATGGAGCTATCACCATCCCAGACTTTTTTTCCTAAATTGTTTCCTAAAAGCAAACACACGTAACTCTTGTTATTGGTAATGCTATTTTTAAACAACTTTGAAAGGGAGTCTCTTGACAAATCCGTTTTTAGATAAACAGGTGCTGAGAACTCTTGTTTCTCTCTGTACTATTAAAGAAATGTATATTTTAAGGGACTTTGTCTTTTGTTTTTTTTTCCATTATTAAAAAGAGGTAACATATTTCCAAAGTTAAACATATGTATGAGACAATACTAGAAGACAGACCTTTGATACGTTCTAAGTTTTTCAAGTTTTAAGTTTTTTGTTATTTATTGGTTTTATGTTTTTTGATCATTCTAAGATTTCCTTCTTTATTTTTTATTTTTTTGGTTTTAAAGACCCTTAAAAAATTCACAAGTGTTGGTAGCATTTACTTCTGCCCTTGGCAATCTAATCTTCTTGAAATAACCAATACTAAGAGTTGCATATGGAATAACCCTATAAAAAATGGCTGGAGAAATTAATAACCTGTACATGGAAAAAGCTCTCACCATAAAATGACTTGCCACATGTGAAAAGATGCCCAGGTTACTCACAGAAAAGAACTGTAAAATAAAACTACTGTGATACCATTTTTTACCTGTCTAACAAAAAGCTGAGGTCTAACGGTATCTAGTCTGTTGCCAAGACTAGAGGAAGCCAACAGCCTGTTCGGTTGCCATAGGATGTGCGTGATGGAATAACTTGGGAAAGGAGATGTTAGCAATAGCTGGTCAAAATACCTACCGTCTGCCTTTTAACCAGCCTTTCCACTGATACATTGACCTAACCGAAAACGGATACCTAGTATGTGGAAGGCTGTTCTTTGCAGGACTGTTTCTGCACAAGACTGGAGATAGAATAGAAGCAGATCATGGATGGCAGTTAGAAACCCAGCCATGCAGGTAATTAATTACACTAGATGTAAATTTCACCAGACTAAAGTTGAGGTAGTTCCTCATATATGCATACGAGATAGAGTCAAAGAAGTCCAGCTTCTAGACTTGTACTTTTATTTCTTGATTGAACATTTTGGCTTCTATGTTAAAAATTGTTGAATTTTGTTGTGTGTCTTTGGATAGTGTCCAACTTTGTTCTGGTCTGCAGTTAAGTCTTTGGGATTAGTTTGACCCTTTCAGGGTACTCATTTTGAGCTTTGTTTGGGTGAGTCTAGTTCAGTGATTCGGGCAGGGATCCTCAGACAGCTCTGCTGCTGTTCTGCACCAGACCCTACCTTCCGTGGAGGCTGTCCTGCGCGAGGAGTGGTGTGCAGCGGCGTGCTCAGCCCCTGCTCTCTAGATGCAGTAGCACTTCCCAGTCAAAAATGCCTTCAGACATTGCCAAATGTTCTGTGGCAAGATAAACTGCCCTGATTGAGAACCACTAGCTTAGAATTCAAGTGTCGCCACTACTAATGCGCACCCACCCGAGGATGCTGGTGGGAGGCAGACCGCTCGCAGCCCTTCATGTGAGCTCTGAGAGTCTGTTTATCTGTTGCCTTCGGGTGGCTTATTGCGCAGCTCGGGGAGCCGCAGCCCCGCACGTGCAGGTCAAGTTCAGCCAAAAATGTGATGGACTTTCTGCACAGCTCCAGAACTTTCTCTGCACAGCTGCCTGATCTTGTAATCTGTCACTCCTGTGCTAGCCACATCAGTGTCCCAAGCTTACACCCCTGTCTTTTCCACCTAGCAAGATCACTTGCTTCTAACTGGGGCTCCTGCCTGTACTGCAGCCCAGAATCTGCCCCCAGGTAGCAGGCTGGAGCTGTCCCTGGTCTCACCTTGTCTGAATCCTCGTGACTATCATGGCAGCAGCCTTTAAAATGGTTTTGTTTATTTTTTCTTGCTTTCTAGTTGTCTAGAGTGGGAGGGCACCTCCCACAGTGGTTAGCCCCTTCCTGGGTGGAAGCAGAAGTTGCTCCTCCCATCCCATGATTGTTTTCTATGGAGTATTTATATTACCATTCAGTGAGCTTTTTCTAATTTCTACTTTAATTTCTTCTCTGATTCAAGGTTGGTTTAAAGTTGTTTGTTTCTCTGACCTATGTGTTTTCCAAAACTGTGTCTAATAATTTCTTGCTATCTTGTTAGCTGACTTTCCCTTCCGTCAGGAAAAGTTCACTTACCAAGTGGTGGTGAGTTTGTCTCCAGTTCTGCTAGTTTTCTTCTCCAGGGCCCTCAGTCCACACTACCAGTCTACCTTACCAGAGCAGAAGTCCCAATCCCTTGTATTTTCTGTGGAATTTTAGCTCTTTCAAACCTTTTTTTTTTTTTTTTTTTTAAAGATTATTTATTTATACAATCACTGGGTACCGTCAGAAGCACGGGAGGGTGAGAGGATTCACCAGAGCCAGAGTGGGGAACATAACAGGCAGACTGACGAAATAAACTGCTGAGGGGAGCAGTGGACGCAGCAGGAGAGGTCTGTCGCGCCATGTGGGACCTTCACTGGTGGCTGGGGATCGAACCGGTGCTGCAGAGGCTGCTGGCAGCTTCGCAGCCCAGTGCTCAACTGCTGTGCCAGCAGGGGAGGCCCTCTTTCAAAACCTTTTTTAAAATCTGTTGTCCTTTAGGGAAAAAAGTTACTTTCCCAAGATCATAAGCTTATGAGTGGTAGAGGGGGAGCATTTAGGTCTTCAACGGCTAATCTTGTCCCCTTGGTGTTTTTGGATAATTCCCTTCTTAACTGTTACAGCCTATGTCTTTTTCAAGTATGGCCTAGTAGTTTTCTTTACTAATCATAAGTTCTTATCCAAAGCATATTGTCTATTCCCTTAGTTGTACTTGAGGTTATTTTACTCCAACTTTAGCTTCCCTTATAATGGCCAAGTTGATGCATTGGGATATATATTTGTACTGAAGAACTTCGCCCCGTGGATGTAGGCATATTGAGAACTACTAATCTTTTAGCCATTCTGTCTCAATATCTTGGTGAAATCTTTATGCCTGGTATTTAATTACCTGCTTAAATTAGGAGAAATAAGAAACTAGGGAGAAAAATAAACTAGGAGGATGAGGGTAAGAGAAGACCATTGTGTTTGCCAGGCTGTTTATTGGGAGGGCAGCTGTGTCATTGTGCAGGAGCACTTCAGAGAGTGAGGGGGGCACTATTAATCATTACTCCAGTAAAGGCAGTGTAACTGGGAGTGTGTGGAGAATTCTGTGACCTAATTTCCATGACCTTCAAGGACGTTAAAATCATCATCACTGATGAAGATGGAGCCAGGTGGCAACGAGTTAGTGGCTGGCCAGTACAGAGGGGAGGCCTTCTGGGGTCAGCTACCCTTTAAACAGCGTGGTAATAAAAGTTAAACATGAGTTGAATGTATGAAAGACTTGCCCTGATGTAGTAAACCATAAATTTTATAAAGATTTTACATTTATTTCTTTTCTATTCTAAGAATGTGACTAAGTGTAATACAAAGTTCTTTGCCTTATAGCCATCAAATGAAAGACCGAAATGCCCAGAACTACCACCATTTCCATCATGTTTATCTACGATGCACTTCATTATCTTTGTAGTGGTACAAACGCTGTTGTTCATTGGCTATATTATGTACAAGTAAGTCTCTTAATGAAATTTAACCCAACATTTGTCTGTTATTTAATTTCAAGTGCTCAGTAGTCTGTGTCCATAGCAGAACTTGCAACACCTGTGAAGTCAGGTTCACACTGAGCAAGTGTTCCATGGAGCTTACACGGTTGCACGTGTTTGGGGTGCATCTTGTCTGAATGTAGTCTATACTGTAGACAACATTGGATTTTGAAATTTAAGACAAGTATTTTTTCCAAAATATATAGAACTATATTCAGCTTTTTTCTTCTTTTTCCTTAGGACTCAGCAAGAAGCAGCTGCCAAAAAATTCTTTTGACCTCCGTTTTCTTAAGTGTGCATCATGTATGTATATACAAAACGTTGTCTTTTTTTTGAGGGAATTTAAGTATTTAAATTGCTTCTGAGTCTAAATTATTAAATTTTGTATAAAATTACTGTTTAAACATTGATTTGCAGTCAGAATAAACCTTAAAACAAAGACAACCACATGTAAATTTGTGCATAGTACGTGAATCTATTTAAATTACAGTGAATTTCTGGCCAGTAGAATACATCCACTGACAAGAATATTGATAGACAAGACCGTAAATAATTCAAAGTGGGGGCTACCTTTCAGATCTGAAAGTTACACCTAAATCTCAGATGTTGGCCGTTTCTTCATCTAATAGAAGCATACTTGGTCTCCTACCCCTCCTCCCCAAATACAAGTCTAGCTACAAGCTCCCATCATGTTTATGTTGCAACCAGTTTTTTTAGAGGTCAGAATTTCCTACTCTAACACCCACTCCTGCAATCCTTTAATGCAATTCCCTTTGAAATCAAAGAGTATTTTGTCTGAGAGCTTTAGGAGCGGGATAAAAAAGCTTCAGAATGTTTATTAAAGTATTTTTTCCTTCTGGTTATCAATGATATATATCACTTTTAAAGGAAATTTGGGGAGGAAAGAAGCGCTTCAAAAAACAATTTAGGTGAAAACATTCCTTTCATAATGGTTTTTATGAGTATTTGCTTGTTAATCTGTTCATTTTTACAGTTGCTTATATTCTCAAATGTTTTTTCATTCCAATGGGGTCAGTTCAACATTATGAAAATAATTTTTGCATTTATATTCATCACTGAAGGAATTTATTTCTCTTATTTGGGACAAGCGTGTCATTTCAGCTCGGAGCGCCGCTCTGACCAAATCTCATGTTCACCAGTCCTGCTGTGCGCTGCAGCCTGGTTCCACTGCCCCACCCTCCCTGGCCCTGTATCTCTGCATACTCTTGTGAATCAAGGAAGCTGTAGAAGCAGTGTTAAGATTTAAGACAAAATTTGAAAAATGGAATGAATACTTCTGATTTCCTTTTTTTAATGCTTTTAAAGATTTTGTGAAGAACTTGCTTGTAAGTTTAACTGGAAATGTCTCGCTGGATGGGGTCTTTGTAGTTCAAAGCATTATAGAGACAGTCTGCAAAAAGACATTTTGAAGGGCCATTTTAATTTTGTATTTGAAGCTGATGTAGACTTATTTTGGCTGGCTTCAAGATACTCTTTTACCTAAAGTGCTTATTTTTTGTCATGGAGTCCAAAATAATACTGTTTTATAAAATAGTTCTATTTCTTTCTTTTAAGCCTTCATAAATTTCTCTCAAATGTCATTTACAGGTTGGGTTTACTGCCTAGAATCTATGCCAAGACTGTGAAGAGTCTAGAGCACCTGACTAGTTCGTGTGTGAGAACAGTTAGCCTCTGTGTCAGCACTTACCCTAGGGCGCTGAGTGAGAAGGTCCCAGGGAGTCCTCACTCTGCTTCATTCACTTCAGCATAGCAAATATTTCTCCAGTGTTTTCCCTTTGTAGTATTAACATTTTGAAATTCATGTTTCAGAGACACCATCATCACAGAATTTACTCTTATCCGTGAAAAAAAATTAATACCTCCTGAAGAATATTTAAGTTGTAGAGTATGAAATTTGGGAAATCCTCTTGAGATAAAAGACTGCAAAATACCCAGTGTTACAAAAATCCCTGGTCACATGTGCCTGAACTTACTAGAGGAATGCCCCATCTATGCAGTGTCTTTTCAGGCTAAATTCAAGAGGAACTGTGGTCATTCCTGTCACAGTGGAGACAGCTGTTAGGAGAGAGCATGAGCAGAGATCTCTTTTCCTTTTTTACTTAGTAATTTAATTTGCTTGAAAATCACTCAGTAAAGCAGTTCACACAGGGCATTTATCATATTATTTGAAATTTTGTTCATTTTCCTCAAAACCATTGACTTTAGTTCATTTCTAAAGAGAAATGTTTCTGTAGAAAAACCAATCACTGCCAGGATTCTTTCATTTCTGTACTATTTTGTATAATTGAATTTGTTAACTTCTCACACCAGCAAGTATTTTACAGGTGCCTTGGATTAATACAAAATTGATTTTAAATTTTAGTGTACGTCATTGTGCTTATGATGCCACTTTTAAAAAGAAATGCAATTACATCATGGATAATGCCCACAGTTAATGTACCAATTTGTGCTCTGTTTGAATGTTTTGCTCATCTTAAACTTTAGGAAGCCACAAACAGTAAATACTGTGTTGTTATGTGGTAAAGGGATGTCACTGTTTCTCACAGTGTGGCCCGTGGATCATCTGGGTCATGGAGTGCTTGTTCAGAATGCAGATTCCAGGGCTCCAATTCAAACTACCTGAATCAAAAGTCAGGGGCGGGGCTTCAGAATAGCCCCTTTTCAACAGGCACCTCAGATGATTCTGAGCACACCACAGTTTGAGAACCACTAAGATGAGGAGTGAAAAACCAAAACAAACTAAGTTTTGTTTTGCTGGTTCAAAGCTGAGCTGAGTGCATAGTAGAACATTTTCATTGTCAATGACGTTAGCAAACGTGCACTGATTCTTTTATACTTACACTACTAAATGTTCTTTTTACTAAAACTCCTGGTTTATTAGTAGTGACAAACTAAATCCAGATTGTGGCCTGTAGCTCTTGGTACTTTGGGCTGATGGTTTTTAAGCTACGAAATCATCTTCACATCATGGTCAAGAAGTGAAAATCCCACCTTCAGGTCGGCCCACAGAAGCCTTTTTGCTTTCCCAATTGTCATTTTTGTGACATTTTTATCTCAGACACTTGTACTTTTTGATAACTTGGGGAAAATAGAAATTACTTGAAAAAGGGATTGCCTGACCTGCTGCATTGCAAAGATACAATCTTTGTAAAGGACAGACATAGCCGTTGTGAATATTAAGATGTGATTATCTTTTCTGTCCATGTGCTTATCACAAGGAGACAGTGAACAAATGATTATATTGGGGATTTTTTTTATTTATAAGATCTAACAAAATCACCATTTGCAACTTTTTAGATCTGTTTGTTGCCTGCTTAATATATTTCTTTTAAAGTCTAAATGGTTTTCTATCTACTGTTAATTTTAATTAGGTAACATTTGTCAAGTGTTTTTTTTCTGATTGTTATTTGATGCTAGCTGGAATTAAATGACATTGACCTTCAAATAAAGAAATATTTTAGTAAATTTACTTTTTCCTTCATTGACCTTGGTAATATGTAGTTATTTATTTCCCAAGTAGGCCCTGCTTTGTGATAGCATCTGTGTATCCTGTGCTGTGCCCGGGCCCTGTGGCATACCACCTGCAGGGCCCACCGGGGAGGCACAAGAAGTCGACTGACGGTGATGAACAGTACAAACAAGTCAGAACAATATATTCAATATTTAAGCCATTACTGATGGCAGTTCAAAAAATCTTTTCATCTTTTGGCAAACACCATTTAACCAAGTCATTCCAATTCAGAGTCCCTGTGGCATGAAAGGGAAAGTAGGGCTTTGGTGTCCGACAAATCTAGGGGTGAGCCTTGACCCTGCTGCTCACCGAAAGGGGTGCTTAGTTTCCCTGTACTGCTCCTCACAGGGTGTAGGGGCAGGAAGGACACAGAGCAGGTTTTCTGATCCAGCATACCGGGTAAAGGAGGAGTCCTGGAGCCCTCAGTGGGTTTTCAGGCTTTTATTGGGGTTTACCAGGTACACGGCAGGCAGGGGTACTGGGGGGCCAGGAGGCTGGCAGGCCTCCCAGCCCCCAGCAAGTCTTTACTATCTGGGTTCTTCGGCCTACTCTCTGCTTCTCTCTCAGTTTCTCTTTCAGCTTCTGCTGCGTCCCCGTGACGCCGCCCCTAAAAGCCCAGTCTCAGCCCAGGTGAATCCCATCTACCTATGCCCACACCCTACTCCAGGTGCCCGCCATCAGGCATGCATTCAGGACCTCCAGGATCCATCATCTATCCTGATGGCGGGAGGGCAGAAAAGCCTGACATTTTTCCTTACCCTACACCTACACAGGGTTAGTAGCCTTGAGAAAGACTCAACAGACATTTTACAAAGTAGTTTCAGGAAATGGTAGACTCAGGGAGGCCCTCGTTTCTTCTCTTGACCTGAGGAAAACCACAACCATTAAGAATCTGCTGCACTGGGGCCTCCCTGGTAGCACAAGGGATTAAGACTCAGCACTATGAGGCTATCCACACCACTGCAGCAGGAGTTCAATCCCAGGCCAGGGAGCTACCCACATGCCACAGCAGACCTCTCTGACTCACCCGCTGCTCGCCTTAGCAGTGTATTCAGTCAATCCGCCTGTTCCCCACTCTGGTGAATCCTCTCACCCCCACACTGCTGTCCTATACCACAGTTCTTGTATGCATAAATAAATAAGTCTTTAAAAAAAAAAAAAAAAGAATCTGCTTCATTAGGCCTCCCTGGTAGCACAGGGGTTGAAGACAGCGCTATCAGGCTATCAGTAGCCACTGCAGCAGGAGTTAGATCCCCTGCAGGCCAGGTTGTTAACCCACATGGCACAGCAGACCTCTCCTGTCTCACCCGCTGCTCCCCTCAGCAGTGTATTTCAGTAGATCTGTCTAGTTCTGCTCCCCAACCTGTCTGGTGAATCCTCTCACCACTACCACCCCCACACCTCTGGCCTGTACACTAGTTCTTGTACGTATAAATTAATCTGCTTTACAAAGTGTCATCGAGTCATCCTCAAGTACACCAGTGAGCTGGAATAGAGCACCTAGGAGTGGTCTGCAGATTAGAGGAAAGGGGACCCATTATGTAGAAAGATGCTGCATGAAAGCATCACGTCATTTCCATGCAGAAGTGTAACATGTCTGAGGAGGTGGCTGAGGAAATCTTCCAGATGTCAGTGAAGGAGCCGCTGGCTTGCCCTGTGGACTTGTCTCAGTTGGGTATAATTTATGTATGAACACAGTAACTACTGAGGCAGGACCGAGACAACCCAGCCAAAAGGCAGCTCCTGGCCTAAAACTTAAGAGTCCAGTGAGATAAAATGATGGATCAAAGGATTATTTTTTGCTTAATGAAGCATTTTGGGTTTGAGCTTCACTGGACTCTGTTTTCAACAGGATGTTTTGCTCAAAGCGTGGAATTTAGAAATTCCATTACAGGCCTGTAATCAGTCAGCTCTGATTAATTTCATTGAAACAGAACTCTAGATGAAGTCTTGCTGTGCTTACAATTTAAATTTTAGAAATGGGTAGGGAGGGGGGTTTGATAATGTGAGGGATTTTTTACCCTCTGAAATGAGCTTAGTGTTTTAATACAGAAGGGGGCAAGCTGCATCTGCTGGGGTGATTTAGTAATCTGAACCATCTGCCTCCATGCTCAGGAGTTCCCCTGTAATCCAGCTCGGCCCCAAACCACTCTTCTCTGTCATCACACCCTTTAGTGGGTGAAGCTGTGCGGGGCCCTTTGCTCAGAAATGTGTGGCTATCGCTGAGGATATTTAGAGATTTTGTATTTGGTTTTTCTTGGGGTTTTGTCTGAGTTTAGGTTTTATTTTTCTGGGGTAGAAACAATGGCTTTCTTTATGAAAAGTGTGATAAGTAACCAGATAAAGAATTTAGGATTTGGTGGCGGGTCTGAAGAAAAAAAAGAAGAAGGAGGTGCTTCTGATCCTGCAGCGGCTCATGGAATGAATAGAGAGGAATACGAGGAGTATCAGAAGCAAGTGATTGAGGAGAAGTGAGTACATCGACTTCATTTCCCTTTCAAAGCAGCAAAGTAATCCTTGCCATACCCTCTTCAGCACCCCAGTCTCTTTTCTTCTTGCCACATGTCTTTCCTTTTTCTATTTACATCTATCCTTAGGAGAGTGTGTTCTGCTGAAAGGAACAATTTCTGAGCATCCGTAGTTATGACATCTTACTGACAGGAATGCTAATGAAAAGTCATAATGAGCCTAGATGCTGTTCATCAGGAGCTTAACATTTTCTGGCCAAGGTATATTTTAACTGCCTTAATTTCATTGTTCAGATGAAAAGTCGTAAGCCTGACTATAATCTTCCTGAAATTCACCCTCCTGACCAGTAGAAAGCTTTCAAATGATAAGAGTCCAGACTTAGCACCTGAAAGAGGGCTTCAAAGAACATTCAGGGCCACCTTCTTGAGCTTACACATGCAGAATAAACTTAGAAAATGAAGCCTGATAATTATGTCATAAGACTTGGCTTCTCAAAGAGTCTAAGTAAATTTTACTGTCTTTCATGAAAATTTTAAAGATAAAAGTAGAACAGTATAATGAATACCCATATATACCTATGTCATAAAGTCAACATGATTGCTATTAAAGTAGATAGATGATAGCTAGGTAGGCAGACAGATAGATCCATTTTTACAGTAAATTATAGACATTATATTACTTCACCCCTAAATATTTCTGCATATAACTCCAAAAGCTAAAGACATTCTCCTGACTATATAAAATATACTGAAGATGAAATAATAGTCACATTTTAGTTGGGTATGATGGAATGTAAATATCAACAATGTTTCCCCACTGAAGAGTGATTCAAATGTTTAAGTGTGACCTATGTAATTTTTTAAGGTAGAGAGTTAATTTAAGAACTTTTTAATAGTGAACTAAGAAGCATCAAGCTTGAGGTTAAATGTTCATATGTTACAAAAGAAAAGTATTTCTTTTTTGTCATGATGGTACTTTGCTAATGATCAATTAGGTAATCGTTGCTTAAGTCCCATAGCTAAGATGATTATAGGTGAAAAGGTTAATGACCTCGAGGAAACCAAGAAAGTTCAAAAGCCTACATTTAATGGAGACCTTGTCTATTGTATTTTTTCTAAAAGAAATTGTGGCTTATCAACTACCTAGAATTTATTATGCTTTGCTCAGCTGTAAATTAAAGTCATTTAAAAAAAAAGAAAATGCAGCTGCAAAAATGATGCTGGTGTTAGGATAACACTGGGCAAAAGAAGCCACTTTTCCTGGTTATTGTCTAGTTTTGCTGATGGCGTGTCAAAGGGACACAAGTATAATGAAGAAACAAAAGTAGAGACATAGAACCAAATGCTTGCAACTCAAGTGGGCCAATGTGAAGAAAATGGTCAGAATTTAGACTATACATCTGATCACACAAAACTGTATTTAATATGTCCAAGCAATAAGTCCTATCACAGAGATAGCATCTGTTTAATTTGCTTAGCTGTGGCTAATGACAAAATTTTCCTTAATTTTATATCTAGACCCGTCAGTGGATTGGGTAATTTGCCAGCTATTGGGTGTGTATGTTTGTGTCTAAATATTATAAATTTATATAAATTTATATTGATGATATGTATGTAGCAGCAAGACGATGGGATCAGCCTGCTTCCTCACACAAGGAGGGACTTGTGGCCTAATGCTTGAGTTTTTAAGAGCTTCATCAACTACAATGCCACATAAAGATATCAAAAATGGTTCATCCCAAGTTACATGTACAGAGTTATAGACATTCTTAAATCTACAACAATTTAAGTGAATGTAGTAAATAAAAGCCTCCTAAATCTGTCCTCATCATTTTGGAAAAGTAGGCTTGATTCTACCAATTGTAAACTAAAACATCTCAACAGTGTACTCTACAGCACATTCGTTTTTATTTCACTTGTTGTTGGTTTTTTTTTTTTTTTTCCCAGTGCCAGTAATAGTACTGAAAGTGGTATGTACCTAAATAGGACACTTGGGAAGGTCTAAGTAAAATAATAGTTTGTTTATCCCTTCATTTCTCTCCATGCTATTAAAACTCCCCTTTACCTTACCCAATTTACTACATGTACTATTTAGTACTAATAGAAAAGTTACTATATTTGCTATGGTGTCATTTGTAACTTGAGCTTTGTTTGACTTGGTCACTTTTTGGAGCTGACTGTAGGCTTGCACTGTGTGGGCTGCACTGAGATAGAGGACTTGGAGTTCCTTCTGCAGGAATTTATGCTCAATTCAGGAGACAAGCTACTGTGACAGTAAACAGAGCAATCTGTTTTTTTTTTTTAATTTTTTTTTATAGATTATTTATTTATTTATTTATTTACACAAGCACTGGGTACAGTCAGAAGCGCGGGAGGGTGAGAGAATTCACCAGAGCGGGAAGCAGAGCAGGCAGAAGGACTGAAGTACACTGCTGAGGGGAGCAGCGGGCGGCAGGAGAGGTCTGCGCGCCATGTGGGACCCTCCTCTGGTGGCTGGGGAGCAGCCGGGGATTGAACTGGCACCACAGAGGCTGCGGGCAGCTTCGCAACCCAGCGCACAACCGCTGCGCCACCGGGGAGGCCCCAGAGCAATCTGGTTTTATGAGCAGTTAGTAAACAGACCCTGGAGGACTGGAATCTGGGTCTGTATGGGGTGAGGGTGGGGGAAATGGAACTTGTACAGTCATTTGATTGTCACCAAATAAACAGAAAAAAGAAGGTCTTTTCAATAAGTGGTACTGAAACAAGTGGGAAAAACTGAACTTGGATCCCTACCTCACACTGCACACACAAAATGAATTTGATAGACATTGCAGACCTACATATAGATGCTAAAATTATAAAGAATTTAGAAAAAGAATAGAATACCTTTGCAACTTTTCTAAGTCCTCTTAAACATGACCCTGAAAGAAATAGCTATAATTTTTTAAATGATCAAAATTTTTATTAAAATTAAAAACTTTTATGCATCAAAGACACATTAATAAGATAAATTAACAAGTCACAAATGGAGAGAAAGTATTTGTAAAACATGTATCTAACAAAGTATGTAACCCCAAAAGCTAAAGACATTCTAAGCTATATGAACAATTCCAGTAAAAAAGTAAGAAAAAAAATGGGTCAATGGAGATAGATTAATAGTCAATTTGAAACGTGAAAATAGATGTCATTACAAAAATGAAAATCACACTGAAGTGCACCACCAAAATGTCTAAATTAACACCATAATTGAATTATATAATGCCTATATAACTCATTAATACCATAATTGAGTTATACAATGTCTAGAACTCTAAAATTGATACCATAATACACAAATAAACACACACACACTAGAATGGTTCAAAGTTAAAAAAAACATAGTACCAGATGTTGACCAGAATGTGGAGCAAGTAGAACTAGTTATTCCAGTTGATGAGCTGAGCGATAGTGTGACCACTTGGAAAAAAGTCTGGCAGTTTCTAATACAAGTAAACTTACTCAACCCGGTCTTCCTTAACTTTAGCAATTCTCTGCCTTGATAGTGACCTAGTAGAAATTAATATACTTGTCCACAAAAAGCCATGTACCAAAATATTCTAGCAGCTTCCCTGGCAGCAAGCCAGCATGGGTAACAGTCCAAGTTTGCATCAGCAGAGAATGGACGAACCCAAGGTGATCTACTCAGATAGTAGATCTACTCTACTATGGATGTCTATGTCTACTCACATAGTGATGTCATAGTGGATGTCTATGTCTACCCACATAGCCGTGGGAAGGAACAGATACTGATAAATAAAACAACCTGGACAGATCTCAGAAGCTTTTATGCTGAGTGAAAGAAACCTTACACTGAAGAATACATAGTGCATGGCTCCATGAGTGTCAAGTTCTGGAACAAGTCAATTCAGTCTGTGCTGGGAAAAAGATAATGATCTGGAAAAAAGATAAGAATCACCAATCAAGCTGGGGAGCAGGTGCTACCTAGGGATGAGAATGAGGGAGTTTTCTCAGGCCACTGTAATGGTTTTTTTTTTATTATTATTTTTAGATTTATTTTATTTATACAAGAACCAGGGTACAGGCCAGATGTGCGGGAGGGTGAGAAGATTCACCAGAGACAGAGTGGGGAACAGAACAGGCAGAATGACCAAAATACACTGCTGAGGGGAGCAGCGGGTGAGACAGGAGAGGTCTGCCGTGCCATGTGGGTTGCTCCGCGGCCCGTGGGGACCGAAACAGCACTGCCGAGGTTGTGGACAGCTTCACAGCGCTGCGCTCAACTGCCTGCGCCACCAGGGAGGCTCCTATTGTAATGTTTTTAGATTCTAATAGGGGTTCAAGTTACACTCAGAAATAGAACTAATTGGAGAAATATGTGTGTATGTACACATGTATGCATTAATATTAGATTTAATATAAAGAATTGATTCACATGATTATGCAAGCTAAGAGGGCACACAATCTGCTATCAGGAAGCTGAAGACTCCAGAAAGCCAGGGTGTAGTGCTGAGAACTGGGGGCTGATTGTTTAAGTTGGTACTTTTATGGGGAATCAAGGGCAGGAGATGGTGGATGTCTAATCTCAGGCAGGTCAACAGAAAGCAGCGAATTCTCCCTTCCTCCACCCGTTTGTTCTGTGTAAGTGCTCAACCTATTGGAATTGCCCTCCCACATACCCCCTCCGGATTGGGGAGGGCAATCGCTTTCCTTGGTCCACCGATTCAAATGCCAATCTCGTCTGGAAACATCCTCATAGATATACCCAGAAATAATGTTTAATCTGGCACCCTGGGTGCCAATGAAGTTAACATATAAAATTAACTATTTAAAGTCTGTACATTTAATTGCATGCAAAATTTTCAAAGGAAAAGAGAAACTATAAACAAATGCAGAGTGGTGTGAGTGGTAGGCATGGTGAAGAGTCTGATGAAAAGTTTACTGAAGTCTGGAACCATGACATGCATCAAAACATAAGTTGGGGCCTCCCTGGTGGCGCAAGGGGTTAAGCATAGCACTATGAAGCTATCTGCAGGCTCTGCAGCACGAGTTCCATCTCCGGCTGGCCAGGGAGCTACCCACATGGCACAGCAGACCTCTCCTGTCTCGCCCGCTGCTCCTCTCAGCAGTGTATTTCAGTAGATCCACCTGTTCTGCTTCCTACTCTGTCTCTGGCAAATTCTCTCACCCCACACCTCTGGCCTGTACCCCAGTTCTTGTATGCATAAATAAATCTTAAAAAAAAAAAAACATAAGATGGATAAATGGATGGAGAGAAAGGGCTAGACAGGTGAGGAAACAAGCAAGGAAGATGCTACTGTACAATGTGATGTTGCGTATTTGGGCTTCACGGTGAAATCCTTCAACTTCCTTTTGTTTAAAACTTCATAGTAAAACACCGGGGAGAATGACGGCCTTCTGCCCAGGTCACTGGCCTCTTGGGAGTGTCACTATTTCCTTTTCCAAAACCATGACACTGCACGCAGGCTGTCTCATGCCTACGCCAGACCTGACCTTCTGTGTGGGGAAATGAGTTCAGAGAGGGCCTCTGGGCCCGGGACCCCTAGTGTAACCCGATGGCTTCACACCAGCCCTCCCTCAGCCTTCTAGGTAATGGTTAAGATGGTTTCAAAGCCCAGAAATAGAAACCAGTTTATCCACCTGAGGAAAAAAAAAAAACAGGAAATGTGTTTTATTGAAAATAATGCTTTATGCAAAGATTCTTCACCAAACCCGTGAGCAGAAATCCCACCAGTCTTCACAGGAGCCTAAACCAGAACCAGAACATTCTGGGGAAACCACAAGCACAGTTCTTCCCTCTCTGGTGGTTGCTTCTGCTTCCTGCATCTGTCCTGTGCTTCTTTCTCAGCAGTCGCTCACTCTTCACTCGGTTACCCAGACCGCATGGCTGGTGGAAAAGGCAGCCACGGCCTCCAAGTTCACTTGGTACTTCCAGCCACACAGGATCGCTGTCCCTCTCAGCCCCAACCCCAAATTCCTAGGAAAGAGATTTCATGAAGTCGGTGTTGTTCTGCCCGGTACAGCCAGAGGGCAAGGCTGAGGGTGTAAGTGGAGCCTCCAGTGACACACTTCTTGGCAGCTGGGAGGGGCTGCGGTTACTGTGAACATTACAGGTGTCCCCAGAGGTGTCTGCTTTTGTCCAGAGCACATGAGCAAGAGAGTCCAATTAGTCACCCCAGGGCATTGGAAAGCTGCCCTCAAGTGTGTGTGGTTGCCACCTCCAGATCCGGGAGGGGAACACTGTCCTGAAACTGGGGTCCAGAGGAGGTGACATTAGATCCCCAAGTACCATGTGCCTCCAAACGACCTGTCCTGAAGACGACAGTCCTGTTCCAGCATAAGAATTGCTCAGGGAGCTTGTTTAAAGCGTAGACCCCTCCTGTCCCCAGGGGTTCTGGGACGGGAGGCCTGGGGTCAGGCCCAATAGCTGCTCCTCACCAAACGCTCCTGTGAGGCTGTTGCTGGGGCTCTCGAGTCACACTTGGAGCAACATGGTGAGCTCAGCTCTGCGTGAAGATCACCACCCTGCCCCTCTCCCCCGTGGCCATCAAGAGATTCCCAGAACCAAGTGACTCCAGGACTTGGGGTCTGTACTCAGTTACCACAGCAGGAGAGACAGGCAGATGTTTGGGGGGAAAGGAACAGCTCCCGCTTTCCCAGGGAACTCACAAGGGTGTTTCGAGTCTGGCTCCTCCGAGAAGGGGCTGGGATGTCCTGAGTCCTCTTTATCCTCTGACCCCTTATTCTGTTCTTTCCTCGAAGGATGGCGCGAGACGCTGCATTTAAACACAGAAAGGCAGAGAGGGCTTGCCTCAGAGTTCACGTCCGGGCAAAGCACAGGCTCCCAAAGGTAAGACGCTAGACACGGTAAGCCTTTATTATAGGCCATAAAAAATGAAGTTATGACCAGCAAAGACTCATGCCCATGAGGGCCTGGGTGTGCGTTCACAGGCATGCAGGCAAACACACGAGTGTATGATCCCTCAGTACAGCTACCTTGTCTCCATCTTCATCTTCATGGAGTGACAAGAGCATTGGACTGAAGGTCACAAAGATTCGATTCCAGGCATGTAGCTCCAGCAGCTTTCCTTTCCTCTCAGCACAACGGAGTCGAGCCCATCGATGCGGTTTCTCACGTAAACATTGTAAAACTGATCGAACTCTCTAAATACACAGAGAACAACAGTTGGGGTTGGCTGAGCTCTTTCTAAGCCAGGCACGGGATCAGCTCCTTGACGCTTCCCGACTGGATTTTCTAACACCACCTCCTCTTCCAGTAGAGGAAATGAGCCGAAGGCTACCCCCGCCCCCAGGAAGGCAGACCCCAGGTCGACCTCCATGACATTCTGCCTCTGTCTCAAAGGAGCCATCGGGTCCCCCTTTTTGGAGATGAGGTTGCAGTGACGGCCATTGCTGGCTCCATCAGATGTGTCTCATGCCTACTGAGGGCGGACGCCCGCAGGCTCTGGTGATGGGAAGAGGAGAGGGGACAGGCCATGCAGGGCTCTTATGCACTGCTCTGGGCTTGTATTGGGGTGACAGTGACCCCAGTGCTGGGCTCGTCTCACTCTTCCACTTCCCCGCCATCTGAGGTTTCCCCAGCCCCACTAAATGACTCCACCTGCACCTTCTGGGTTGAGCGTTCATCTTCACAGGCAGGGGTGCACGCTCCCTTAGAGAGCCTTTTCCACCTGGAGAAGCCAAAGTGGATCCCTCCACAGCACGAGCACCACCTCCAAGTCGGCGGGGTCCCCTGCACATCCCAGGGAAGGCTGACTTCAGGAGCCACCGGCACTCAACAAGGGAAGGCACCCCCTGTCCAGGCAAGGGCACTGTTAAAGTCACCCATGAGTCAAATCGCCCCCTCCTGTGGGAGAGATCCACCCCTTAATGCTCCCTGTCTCATCCAGGGAGCAAAACTCATGCTTGCATTTGGATGAGGGGAACACTTCTAAATACTGTGCCTTCCACTCCGTGTCTGGTGAACTTCCTGAAACTCCCCCAGAGGCCAAGCTCTCTTCTGCAACATGCCCCGGTGGAACCCGCGGGCTCACTGCAGCACTGAAGCCCCTGCCTCCAGCCTTGGGTGCAAGAAAAACAGCCACTTACAAAAGACTTTGCATGCAGTTCTCCTACCCCAAGTCTCCTCTTTCTACTTTTATATTCAAGGTGCCCATCCCTCCACCAAAAAAAATTGGGGGTGCAAGATTGACTCTATGTGACTGAAAACTGCAGTAAGCTTTAGGGGACAATTTGTACAGTGAAGGGCCACAGAATCCCACCACCAACAGCCAGGGACGAGGTTTTCCTTCTCCTGCGTGGCCCAATGGTTTGAAGAGACCGACACCTCTAGGACTAAATTCCAAACACAACCCTAGTATATAAATGCAAATGTCACCTGGAAGCATCTGCCCTTGCGCCTGCATGGAAGAGTTCACCTTCTGAAGGCGTCCCCTTGGGGCGCTAGTATAACATGGCTGCATTTTGTAAAAATGAATTCTGCACACACTGCCCATCTTGTGCATTCTGCACAATTCTGCACATATTCAACAATTTGCCTTCAGTGTGAAAAGTACTAAAAATGCTAATACAACTGCCTGCTTTTTCCCGAGGCACAGGGACATGTGAACACAACCCGCAATCTCCATGAAAGAGTGACTAATAGGAAGTGTCCCGCAGCAAGCCAAGCTAGCACAGCTGTGGCTAGCACCCCAACCTCGAGGCTGCACCTGCCCCAGAAGTTCTGCACCACCGCTGGGCCCCCATGACTAGAAGGGGCGCTGGGGAACAGACACATCTCCCACGCCAAGATCAGCCGGACTTGCTGTCTGTGCAGAAAGGCCCCTCCAGCCCTAGCCAGACGGCCGCTTCCGTGGAGGCGCCGCGGGGAATGCCCGCGCGGGACCAGAGCCGGCTGGCTCGCGCCCCCTGGTGTCCCTGCATGGAGGGTGGGGCAGCAGCTGGGACATGCACCCTCCAGGCCCCGAGAACCATCTGCCCAGCGCGTGTTCTCAGCTCTTCCCGGGCTCTGTGGGCTGCTGATGGAGGGGAACAGAAACTAATATCTGAAGGTGACTTTTATTTTTGTGAAGTCCATTCTTGTGATACTTAGTTCCAGCCGTGGGCCCTCCAGGGAGCAGCTGTCCCAGGAGGCGGCAGTGCAGTGAGGGGCAGGGGTGAGGACAGGCTGGGAGGAGTCAGGTCATTTATGACTATGGAGCCAAGAGTATAATACATGCAAAGGAATGAACTTAGGCCACTATCTCACACCCTACCCAAAAATTAATTCAAGATGGGTTAAAGACCTGCATGTAAGACCTGCAGCCCTGCTGCTTCCATGGTAATGCTGAATCAGGCCAGTGCCCTCCAGGTTTGCTACTGCCGCTGGCCTGGACTGGAGGCAACTCTTAGGTCTGTCTTTGGTTTTGCAGAACTCTTATGCAGACCCTTGAGAATGCCACATGGAAGCCCAATGGGAATTGAAGTGGTAGATGGTCTAATAAGGAGCAAGGCCCAGGAGGGGAGGCAGTGCCCATGGGCATCACTGTGATTGGAAAAGGCCAGGACCATGGCACTGTCTCCACACTGCACTGGCAGAAAAGGGATGAGGGCCAGTCAGTGCTAGACCTTAGAGCAGCGGGTGGGGGGTGGTAGACGGAGGACAGGGCTGGTGAGGAGCTGCCCAGCTGGGGATGGGCCACAGATTCCCGAGTCATTATGTCCCTTCCTGGGGTTGCCATCTTGCTTACTGTGCTTATTGATTACTTCTATGATTACTGCAATTAAAAAGGTCATCTTGATAATTGTCTGTGCAATGAAATATTATTCGGCCAGATAAAAGGTCATCCTGAAGTCGGTGAAAACATGGATGAAACTTGAAGACATTGTGCTGAATAAAATAAACCAGATGGAGAAAGGCAAATACTACACGACTTCAGTTATATGTGGAATCTGAAATAACCAAACTCGTGGATAGAGATCAGATTGGAAAAACGGCAGGAGCAGTGGGTAAGAAGAGTGGATGAAGCTCGTTAAAGGTACAGATTTCCAGTTAAGCCCTGGAGACGTCATATAACATGGTGACTCTTAAAAAAGTTTTCAAAGACATATGGACAAATAGTAATGTTATTAACTCTAGCCAGAACTGCAGGAGAGGCAGGGCCAGCTGGGGACCCCCCCCCCCAGCCCTCTCTCAGCTCTCTCCCGAGAGCAGGTGTGGCTCCCAGCGGCCCCCAGGCATTGGCTCCTTGGCCAGCTGCTGAGTGGTATTTCTTTTCATTGAACGTCTATTTTATACACAGAAAAGCACATGTCTTAAGTCCTAAAACTCACTGTGTGGTCCTAAAACTCTTGTAAATTGAGGAACTTGGCTGAGGTCACAAGTCCTACCGTGACAAACGGGACGGAGCCTCCTCATGGCTCATCCAGTACTTTTTCATGCCTCTTTTCCTCCACCCCCACCCCCAAGATGGTAGCCATGATTACATCGCCTAAGCGTCTAACGAAGCCGGCAGCGCCGCGCAGAAAGCAAGACTCACATCCTCACTGGCTCCAACAACAAACAACCTTCCCTCCCCTCGCTGATGGCCCAGTTCTCAGCCCTGTGCCAGCTCATAACGTCCACCCCAGGCCAGCAGCTGTGGGGACAGTATTAACCGTCTGCAGGGAACTGGACACATTCAACCTGTCCTCTGCTGAGGAGGACTGCCCGGGACCTCGCCACGTTCCCTGCCGCCCCCAGCCAGTGACATAACCAGCAGGAGGCAGTTCTGGGCCCTGTGCTTTCCCCAGGCCTGACGGAGAGCAGATTTGAGGAAAATGTCTTCCCAGGAGCTGTCAGGTGCAATGAAGATAACTGCATCACGTTTGGGTTCAGAACTGTGTTTTCTGAAGAAATGATGTGGCGGGTGTTTCCCGTGACAAAGAGCTTCCCTGGGTCGCTGACTGAGGGAAGGACATTGGGCTCTCAGGAAAGGGTGACGCAGCCCGAGCCCTCAAGCCCAAGAGGCAAAGGCCCCTCCCGTGTGGGAGAAGCCCCACATGTGGGCTTCTCCATGCCTCAGCCCTATTACTAGGACAGCTCTTGCATCGTTTTTCCCTCTGTTCCCCTCAAAAGTGAGATTTCCAAAATGTAAACCTGGTCTTGTTCCTCCCTTGTTTATTTGAAAAAATAAACTTTGGAGATCAGTGTTCTAACCCCCCAGCCAGGACGCCATGATAAGCCTCCTGTCTCTCCAGGCTTTCCTCATTCTACTCGCTGCCTAGACTGAACATTCCTTCTGGTTTGTCCCCTAACCCCTGCTTCCTGTGTGCCTTTCCTTCCTGGAAGACTCTGGTCTAGTGTCACTTGTTCTAGAATCTTCTGTGGCTCGCTCACCCCACCTAAGACTGGCTTGGGCCACCCTCTTCACGCTCCTATAAAGTCCAAATGGCAGCTTCTTCTTATATTGTCGCGGTCCTGAACGTTCTCACCCACCACCCTGTGCACATCTCAACGAGGATGGCTGACTTTCTTGTCTTTGTCCTCAGCCTTGTGTGGTGCCTGATACGTGGGAATTGAGCAAATGCACACACACACACACTCACGTTCAAAAGCTTTGCCAAATGATTGACATTTTTGGGAAAATCCTACATCTCGAAAACAAAGGATCCGAAACAACAGAAGGCATTTATCTGTCACAGAATTATATTAAAATAAAATTTCATGAAAAAAGCAAGTCTGGATTTAACATTATAATTTTGTATAAAATACATAGGTTTCTTCACCTCATCACTGAGATGTCTACTTCTTCAACTAGAGGAAATCATGTCTTAAATAAAGCCATAAAATTACATCAAAAAACAAACATGCCTCTCTCCCTAGCCAATTCGAAATGTATATGTAAGTCAAGCCAAATTAATAAGAGAAAACAGTTCCACAGTGAGCACTAATCCTATTAACAGAGTTGTCAATCTGGGGTAGTCGCTGAAGAATAATGCAGAGCCTCCTGCTGAGCTATATGATTTAGTTACACCTGGTGTTTGTCTGCTCTATTTAGGGCATGGTTTGCTTTGAATAAACATGAAGACAGAAGAAAATCTATCCAAAGAATAGACTTTAAACACCTTACGTCGAAAGCCCCATTGGAGTTGAATTTAAAATTTTCCTCTTAAAAAAACAGATACAATTCCGTGCCCCTTTCTTGGCCAGCCTCCATCAGATTGGGAGTTCTGGGGCTGCCCAGCGGGGTCCGAGACACTGAACCCCCTTCCTCCAAGCAACTGTTTCTGGTGGCAGGGCCAGGAGGCCCCAGAGGCCCCGTGGGGCCTGCTCTTCCTTCTCTCCAGGCCGCACCAGCCCAGTTTGCTCCTTCTCCCCACACCCTTGAACTGTGGCTACTTACATGTCTTACTTCGTCGCGCACTGTCCCCCTGGAAGGTAGGAAGATGAGGCCCCTTCCCAAACAGGCAGCTCCGCTCCGAGAAGCAAAGGGACTTCCCAGGGTCACACGGCCTGAAAATGAGGAGGCAAGATTTAACATAACGCCTTTCGGGTGAGGCCACACTCGAGCTATCCAGGGCCCTGAATTCCCCGCTTAAATGTATTCCAGAGACTAACCAGGTCCCTGTGCCAGGCTGGTCCTTCTAAGGCTGCCCTGAGCCACCAGCCTGCGTTCCACAGGAAATGAAGGCGGGCAGGAGCTCGGGCACTGGGCACCGCACACCGGGGCTCCTGCTGAAGGCTGCAGCCAGGGTCGAAGAGTGCCATGAGCCGGGACCTCCGTCGTGGCTCACACTTTAGGTCCCACAAATATAAGGGTGGGTCTGACAGGGGTCAGGAAAGTTGGGTCCACTGAGAAGAGCCCAGAACTGAGGGCCTAGCACCAGAAGGAAAAGAATAGGCCCCGCTTGCTGGAAAAGTAAGGGTGTTTTATCAGGTGCGGGATCTCTAGAAGACTAACTTCCATGAAGTGGGAAGGTTTCACCTACCACCCAGGCTGCAAGCCCAAGGCAATAACCACAACATGGATTTATTGGCGGGCAGCCACGCTCCAGAACCCAGCACACAATTCAAACAGCAGAAAAGGGAAGACTGGCCAGGGTCGGGCGGCTGACCACGCGGAGTGGGTGGAACCCAGGCTGGAGGGTCCCAGAATCTGTCATCTGCAGGAGAAGAGTTGCCACTTCTCGGGGTGAGAGCTCCCCGTGGCTCCCCAAACCGGGGAGAGGCTTCAGGACCGCGGGCATGGAGTCCACAAGCCTCGCGAATTGCCTGAGACATGGTGCCGTTGTTTCGACCACTCCTCACGGGATCACCCGTTCATGTTGATTTGGGCGGGGCCTCTCTGCACGGGCTTTCATCTGTCCTTGCCTTTTGCAGTCTTTTGTTTGCAGAGTGTCCTTATCAATAAGCAGTTGCTTCTTAATTGATAACGTGAGACATTCTGTCTCTATGCCTCCTCCTTTCCGTGCACCGCTTCATCCCTCTCCAGTGCTAGCACAGAGAACAGCCCCATCAGGATCAGTACACGGTCTGTGTACGTGTCAGGGGGCCATTCTGAGGTCCGAGAGTGCAAAGAGAGAAGTTCTTCTGATGGGGCTGACTTCCTGTGCAGGAGACGCAGTTATCCAGTACAAATCCTCCACCCACATCTGAGGGTTACGCCATTTTTGAACCGCTGGGACATGCTGCATAAACTCCAAATAATTCAGTTGTCTAACTAATCCTAAACTATAAGACAAATGATATAACTTCAATTTATAGATAATAAAGCTCAGAGAGGCTGTGTAATGTGTTCAAACTCACACAGCCTGTAAGTGGTGGGGGTAACTTTCATGCTCAGGCAATCTGATTCTCAAGCCAGCACTTGACCTCTAGAATGTACTGTCCTTATGAAAAGACAGATAAATCTTGAAAATAGAGCTCTTTATAGCAACAGAGACCTGCACTTTTAGGTATTAAGTTTGAGGTGGTCCCTGACAATGGCTCACTGCAGCATTCACTGAGCATCTATTGTCTGTTCAGGCCAGACACTCCCCTGGACTCTGAGGCTCGTTGATAAGTAAGTTACAGCCCCTGTCTTCTAGAAAGGTGGAGCGGAAGCTCTTACACTTTAGCAAGCAATAGAATCACCTGTAAGACTTGTTAAATCACAGATTCCTAGTCCCACCCCCAGGGCTTCTGAATCAGCAGGACTGGGTGAAGCCCCAAGATGTGTTTCTTACAAATTCTGGGGAGAAGTCTAGTCTGCAGACCCAAGGAACCCCAATTTGAGAAAAACCTTTGGTAGCCATTGCGATGATCATGAGTCCCTCTGTGAGATGTGAGACAAGGTGGAGCTCCATGGCCCTCCCTTCTCTAGACAAGAAGAATAAGGATGAAATACTCCTCACTGAGGTCCTCCCTGAAGGAGGAAGTCACCCCAAAGCAACTCCATCTCCAGAAGCAGCTGGCTGAGGTGGCAGGCAGAGGCGAGGCAGGGCGCCGTGAGCAGTCTGCAGTGCACAAGGCCTCTGCAGCCCCAGCAGGCTGGCTCACATCATCTGTCCACCCCACTACCTGTCCCTCTAGCCCCCGTGACTGCTCTGTCCAGGTTCAAGCCTGGTGACATCCATGGAGCTCTTATTACCAACTAGAGGGGTGGGGGCAGTGCCAGAACTCCCAGGAATACCTTTTCAAATCACCTATATTTTATTCGGGGTACGTCAGTGAGGGTAGATGTCCTACACTGACATGAGCTGACGATCACCAGGCTGCAGCCACGCTTGTCCTCCCTCCCTGCAGTGCCCAGAGGAGGACGGATCCCGAGGGCAGGCAAGCAAAAAATAAATAGAAATAGAAGGTTGGCTGGGAGCCCCTGGGGATTAACTAACTAATTAATCCCACAACAATTTGATGAGGAACTAATTAATCCGTTAAGCACTTTGAGGGGCCAAGAAGCAACCAAGTGCGAGCGAGGCGCCCCTCACCTGGGCAGCTGACGCAGAGGGCACCCCCTTGGAGGTCTTCAGGTGAGGACTCTGCCTCCCAAATTATTCATTCCTTGTGCATCTTGTCCCTCATGCTATTTCCAGAGCCACTCTGCCCAGAGAGCCAACTAAAAGAAGGGAGCCCAGGGCCAAGGCTGTGGCCTCTTGAAGCATCAGCTGGAAAAGCAAGGAGACTTGGAGCCTCAGAGCTAGATGAGCACCAGGAAATCCACTTGGAGATGGAAAGCAGTTTACACATTACCCTGGCGAGCATTCCTGCCGAGACCCACCCGCACTTTTCCAAGTTCAAAACAAAGAACAATTCCCTAAGTAACCTCTGGAGGGTCTCCCTCTCCACCCTCAGGAGTGGGGTGGGCGAGGGGAACAGCATCGCCTCCAGAGGGAGATGCAAGTTTGCTAATTTGCCCCCATGGTTTGGCCCCATAGTTTGCTAATTTGCGCATGTGTGGGCCTCCAAGCTCAGTTAAATATCAGCATCCTCACACCTCCAGCTTCTGCCTCTGGCCCTGGTCTGCAGCGAGAAAGCCAAGCACACCAGCCAATTCCTTCCTTCTCAACAAACCTGTGTTTTCCTGCTACTTTTAATATGGCTGTTTGTGTGTCTTGGAATGGTTCATTGATCTCTGTCTACACGTGTTTTCCCACCAGAGTGAAATGGACGAGAACCAGATCCAGATGGCTGGAGATGATGTGGATTTGCCAGAAGATCTCAGGAAAATGGTGGCTGAAGATCAAGAAGAGGAAGAAGACAAGGCTTCCATTCTTGGGCAGTTACAGAATCTTCAGAACATGGACTTAGACACCATCAAAGAAAAGGCCCAGGCCACCTTCACAGAAATCAAGCAGTCAGCGGAGCAGAAGTGCTCTGTGATGTGAGGGCAGGCGCGTGGATGGGGCAGAGACCCGGTCACGGCGGAGGTGACCGATCTCCTCACTGGTGACCGATCTCCTGTGGCCATCCTTGGCGGGACAGACTTTAACACAGCGAACGCAGTTAGGAAAACCACGATGACCAAGATCTCTACCGTCAGGTAGACAGAAGCCTGATTATTCTAGATGTTCCTGGTAGCGACATGACTAGCCCCTGGCAGCAGGAAACATACTTTGCTTTGGTTAGAAGTGTAGTGAGTGAACGATCAGCTCTGCGTGGTGCAGAGCACAAATCTGCTTGAAGAGGTTCTGGACAGCAAAGGACAATGAAAGGCAAATGGCGTTTCCCCTCTGACTTCCTTCCTTGGAGGACAAGGTCTCCCATCTCCAACCATCATACCAAGCCAGGTCCCTTCATCAATGTGACTATCAGGGTGCCCACCCCGAGCTCAGGCTGCAGCTCAAGGGCAAATAATAACACACCACCTCTCACAGCCAAGCTCCAGGGCATGGCTGATGCTTCTCATCAAGTTTGGCACTTGAACAGCCGGAAGCCAAGGACAGCAGCAGGGATGTGGCAAAAGATGCGAAATGGAGGCAGAGAACAGACCCCACCAGTCCTTTGAGGCCCATCATTGTTCATACAATGAATGGATTGGGGGCGGGGGGGGGGGAGGGGGGGCGTGAAACTAGAAGCAGGGAGGGGGGCAGTTGGGGGAGTGATCGCTGTTTCTCATTCAGCATTATCTCCTTTCGCTGATGATAGCAGGCCCTTAGTGAACAATGAAAAGGAGGGCTTGGGGTAAAAATAAAGGGGTTGTAATTGTATGGGGAATATAAAAATTAAAATTAAAATTAAAAAAAAAAAGAAGTTCTCTCTCTTCCTGCCCTTCTCTCTTTTCCCTCTCATTGTCTGTCCTCAAATACATGTTTGAATGCCTGATTTCAATTTCTTTGAGTGGAATTCCACCTGGAAGTAGAATTGCTGGATCATCCTTAGGTTTTTTATCTATATTACAAGCAGCAGTCTGGGAAGCTACAAAAAGTACCCTTAGAAAAATGTGACAGAATTTGGTATCATACAAATTTAATTCAGATTCAGAAAACTTGAATATTTTTGGAAAAAAACCCTTATTTGGAAAAATTTCAAAGCTAACCAGAAGTAGAAAACCATGTGTAACAAATTCTCATGTACACAAGTTTAGCCTCCTTCTCTTTACGTGTTGCTGTCCTCGAATAACTACGTATTGTCACTATTTCATCCTCAAACAGAAGATCTCATTCTAAACTCCCGGAGCTCTGGCAACAGCAGAAATGGACGCAGTGCTGCTTGCTTGTGAAGTCATTTCAGAAACCCCAAAGGATTTCCAGGTTGTATAGCTTTAAAGTTCATCCCTTGAATTCATGATGTGGTAAGCCCCTGACACTTGAATGAGGACACTTCTGGGGAGCATCTTGAAAACCCTATTCAAAGCATCTGGAGTTTAAAAGGGGCTAATTAGATTGGGCAGCATATATAAGATCAGCATTTTTAGGGCTTAAAGGGTCAAAGGAGAAAGTACAATAAAAATTGACACACAAATGTGCATAAAACTGCAGTCAACTGTAAAAGTAAACTAAAGCTAACGGTCTGCAGCAGAGTGGCTGGAGCCACTTTGGGGAAACAGTGCATTCCCTAAGAGGGCGCACCCTAAGAGGGAGAACTCACTGTGGCTCTGAACCCCGTGGCAGTGCCAGTGCCAGTGCAGGGGAGCCCTGTCTCTTCCTTTAACTGAACACTCACATCAAAGGTGGTGGAGGAAACCCCGCCAGGGCTGATGCTAACAAGACGGGCGTGGACTGAGTCTCCTTTTGAAAGTGATCAAATGATTTTTGTGAGCTATTTGGGAAGGAGAGCAAAGAAGTTTGATATTTTCCAAATATCTGGGAAATAATACTTAAGAAAAACTCCAGTGATAGATTATAAGGATGTGAAAAAATATACAATCACACTAATTAATAACAGTGCGAAATTAAACAAGTTACTTAATCTGGTTGCTCATTTGTAAAGGAGAGTCCCTCGCAGTTATTCATTATACCCACCACCACCTGGTGCAGCATATGTTGTGGGTGCTAGGGATCCGGGGGTAAGGTGCCTTTCTAGAGCAGCTTAGATTTGAATGAGGAGAGATGGTAACAAACAAGCAAACAAATAATAGATATGATCATTTTGGGGGGGGGGAGTGGAAGGGGCTATGAAAAAATAAGATGCCAAGAAGGATAATGTGACCACTTGAGGGAGGGCATTTCAGGCAGTGAGAATAGTCCATGCAAAGGTCCTGCGGTAGGAAGGGGCTTGGAGGATTTCAAGAAGAGTAAAAGGGCCAACGTGGCTGTAGCTTACTGAGCAAGTTAGGACAGGTGCAAGAGTGGCCAGAAGTATTAAATGAGGCTGCTGAAGAAGTTGGAGGGATTATGTCTTACAGAACAGCATACGGACTTGGGATCTTGCCCTACATAGCAGTAAGTCTTTGGCGGGTTCTATTTAGGAGGGGCATGATCTGATTTACATTTTTGAATGCTTCTCTGACTGCTGAGTGGGAACTGGAGGGCAGAAAGCTAAGAGTAGTGGGAAAGAGGGCAGTGAAAAGGCTAATTCAGTCCAAGCAAGAAAAAAGAGTGGCCTACACTGTGATGTCGACGGAGACGAGCGTCCACATGAGAAATATTCCAGAAATAGAGCCAACTGGCTTGATTTAGAAAGAATAGATGGACTTCATAGAGTGCTGTGAAAATGAAATGCGGATCGAGAATTGTTACATGTCCTTTCAAAAAGAAGAGGGGAGAAGAATCCCAGAGTGGCCAAACTCGAGGGTGCTGCAGGAGGAGGGGTCAAGGCTGCTGCAAACGGGCATCCCTGGATTTGCCTTCTTAGCTCTCTAAGAGGATTGATGGGCTTCAGGACCATCATCCCCTTGAGATAAATGTCTCTGTGCTCCCCCTAGACACTCTGAATTCAATTAGTTTAATTAGAAAACAAGTAAAGAGGAATTATCTTAATATAGCTTTGCTCCCAACAACTCAACAAAGCCCATTTCTTTGGCAGCCGTCCAAGTTTCCCTCTTTTATTTACACATTCTGAGATAATGCTGTGAATGTTCCATTTGAGGGGGGTGGGAAGGTGGGATCTGTCTTCCCCAAAAGGTCATACTTTCGTTTTATTAGTAGTACTTGCTGATTTAATGAAGTAAGAGCCGTAGAAGTGCTGGTCAATTTCTTTTCTTTCTAATCAAATTTATTGTTTGCCAATTTCCATGGTGAAAATACCATCACAATGGCTGATTTCAGACGACCGTGTGAGGTCACTGAGCACACAAGTGGGAAGAGATGCCCCCCATTCGCTCTCCCAAGGCAATGAGAGCTGGTTCCAGCATGCCAGTGGGTAGGAATAGCTGTCGTTTGCCAAAATGCTTTACAAATCAATTGCCAGCGGGAATTTTTTCTCTTCCACAGAAGCTACTTGCTTTGGCATCAAGCTCATCAGCAAGCTCAGAGGCCTGGTCATTGTTTTGGGAAATGATTGGGGAGTAGTATGAGCAGTAGCTTCGCTGTGTTTGTACAATAAACACACTCCTCTGGGACCATCCCAGGGCAGGTCCTGAGCGCCCAGGGGTGCTAGAGTTGCAGCAGCCCAGCGGGGTCTGGAAGCAGGGAGTCTGGGCTCTCATCTAAGCCCAGTCACCGAGGTTGTGTCTCATCTCATCTCAGGCAAATCATTGAGTTTCTGTGGGCCCACGCTTCTGCATCTAAAAAGGAAAAATAGGGGCTAGAAGTGAGAGAGCAGACAAGATAATCACCAAGATTTCCCTTCTAACCCTTACACATTCGATCTTATGAAAGAGCAGAGAAGTGAATTAGAGACTAGTTTTAAGTGATGGTATTCCCAAAAATATTGTATAATTTCAAAATTTAACCTGTCTCTGTAGTTCAACGCCTGCTCCTCTTTCATTAAATATTGCCAACATAGGGCCTCCCCGGTGGTGCAGCGGTTGAGCGCTGGGTTGCGAGGATGCCCGCAGCCTCTGCAGCATCGGTTCGATCCCCAGCTGCTCCCCGGCCACCGGAGGAGGGTCCCACATGGTGCGCAGACCTCTCCTGCTGCCCGCTGCTCCCCTCAGCAGTGTACTTCGGTCCTTCTGCCTGTTCTGCTCCCCGCTCTGGCTCTGCTGAATTCTCTCGCCCTCTCGCGCTTCTGACTACCCAGTGCTTGTATAAATAACTAAATAAATAAATCTTTAAAAATGAAAAAATAAAAGTTACAGACTTCTTTAAAAAAAATCACCAGTATTTATACACACATATACATTTTGCACATAAACCTCTGAGAATGCATTAGAAATCAGGGAACGGGGAGAATTCCCTAAACTTTATATGGCAGACTTGGGAAATTGAATTACCATTCAATAGTTACTTTATTATTTTGTCCAAAGACAAATGAAAAATATTAAACAAATTATAACTTCTTTTAGTCTGTAATTTTTAAAGACAGTTTTGCTATTTATAGATTTTGATATTGAGTATTTTTTAAAAATTTTATTGAGATGATAATTTATATCACCATATATGATTTAGAGATATAGGTTCATACCTCTTCAGATGTGCTACCACACTACACCCACTTTGTTTTTTAGCATATCTGTTATCATTATATTTGACCAAATATTGTATACACTAACCATCTCAACTTTTTCAATCCCATGTCATCAAACACTGACTCATATTATTCTTGTATTATATTTTTCCTTTGATTCTCAAAGGAAACTTTATTCCTGGTTCTCTTACAGCCATGGAGGAGTTAACAGTGCATGTGCCTATGCCAGTGCCCTATTGGGGGGTAGTGCACATAGTCATTAGATTCTGGGGGGGAAAAACCTGGGTGAGAGTCCTAGCTCCATCTGAAACTCACTGTGCATCCCAGGGGAAGTGACTTAACCTCTCTGTGTCTCAGATCATCTGTAAAGTGAAAATAACAGTATTTAGGGTGATTGTGAGGATTAAATTAGGTAATCCATGTACAGTATATACTTGATAGACTATTGGCTGGCATAGTTAGTTCAACAAATAATAACTTCCGGTCTATTGTTTATAACTGGGCAATTGAATTTTTTGAACTTCAGTCTGTGTGCATGTGTGTTCAGTGATTATAAGAGTTGTGACGTCTTTAACTAAAAGTAAAGTTGCCAGTCCCGGATGTGTATCAGGGGGAGAAGGAGGCCCCCCAGTGTGGTATGACCGGCACAGTTATTCTAGGATTCAAAAACCTCTACTAATGGGGATAGTTACATGCAGACAATCTATTGGATTTGCACACTTTATGAAATAATATCCTGCAGACCTTTAGACATTTTCCACTCAAACCTAACAGTACATTTCAAAGTGAGTAACTGGAGTTGAAATGGCCTCGACTCATGATGGACACTCATCCCTGTCCGTCCAGTGCACAGGGGAAACTCGCCCTACAGATGCCCATTTCTCTTTAGCGTGTCATAGGTGAAGCTGTCTACATAGAATCTTCCATAGATGGGACCTCCTGCATACACCAAGATAAAAGAGACATTTTATATTGGTCCCTATCCCCTTTCTTCTCAAATCTCCCTGCCAACTTCAATTGTCCTTCTGCCTCGTCCTTTCCACTCTTAAGACACCCCCCATATCCCAATCACCCCCACTCTCCTTGCATCTGGAAATGTTTCTCCAAGTTTAAAGGGGCTTTAGCTGTGATTAAGGTCAGCTCGCATGTGGGGGCTGGGCGGAGGAGTTTGCTTTGATCTAACTAATGAATTAATGAATGAAACAGAGGTGGAGTTCAGAAGCCAGGCTCCTACTTTTGCTGAAACCTGGCTGATCATGAGCTGGAGTAACTATTGGAAAAATGCAGCTTCGTGCTAGAAGAATTAGGGACATGGCGGAGTCCATTCATCTTCCCTAATCGAGTTCTTGGGAAATACACATGTAGATTAGCCCCTAACAATGACCCCCGGCTGATTGCTTGGAGTACCCTCCACTGCGCCCACAATGGTTTTGACTAGCTCTTTATGTCCTGCACAAAGGAAGCTCCAACCTCTCCTTGTCCGGCTCTGCCCTGTTTCCCTGGCGTTCCTCGCCAGCGGCTGTTGAAGCCTTTTCTGCTTTTCTCCCGAGACTCTGAAATAAACAGTAAATAAAAGCTCACCTCACCTGGGCCTATTAGGGAGAGCTGGGCAGTTCCAGAGGGAATTAACTTTGGAAAACAAGGCCATAAGCCCCTTAGCCGTGTGGGCAGGATCTTAAAACGCTGCCAATCTTTGTTTAGCGGTGATTCTAGAGATCAATTTAATATTGGGGAAGTTTGCATAAAAAGCATGTCAGTCAAAAGGGAAGGCCCAAATAGCAATTAATTATCTCTAGGGCTGCTCTCTGGTCACCAAGCATCAGCACCCAGCCACTTGGTCTCTGTAACTGGCCCATGGGACCAGGCAGTAGGAAGGGACTATTCCAGGTCCTGAGGAAGGCCCTGGGGCGGGCTTGAACTATGGCAGGAGGCTCCGGAGGCTTTGCCAGTCCTTCTGGATGCCCGTGTCCACAGGCCACTGTCCAGGGTCTCTGACTTCATTTCCTTAGGAAGCTAAGCTCTTTCTACCTCAGCCTCTTAGATGCAGGATCAGTCTCTGCGAAGGATTAAAGCCAACTGCAGACTAAGACATACTCTGATTTGTTTCAAGAATATCACACTCAGGGGCCCCCCTAGTGGCTCAGGGGTTAAGTCTCTGCATTATGAAGCTATCTGCAGCCACTGCAGCACGAGTTCGATCCACATGACGCAGCAGACCTCTCCTGCCTCGCCCTCTGCTCCCCGCAGCAGTGTATTTCAGTCAGTCTGCCTGTTCTACTCCCCACTCTGTCTCTGGTGAATCCTCTCACACACACCCCACCTCTGGTCTACACCCCAGCTCTTGTATGCATAAATAAATAAAATAAATCTTTAAAAAAGAATATCACACTCAGCAATAATAATTACAAATGAACTGCAGCAAATAAACCCTGGACAAGGAGTCCAGGAGCCCAGCAGTCTGAGTTCTAGTCCTGACCCCTCCACTCAAAACTCTATCACTTTAAGCCTCTGTTTCCCCTTCTGTAAAATAGAGCTTTCTGCTCACCCCACAGGCTTGTGAGGATCAGATCACATGGCAAATATGGAAGGATTCTGAAAACTACAAGATGATAAATGCAAGAACTATAAAATGCATATCTACCCTCATTAACTTCCCTATCCCTCAAAATTAATTTTTTTGACAAGTCAGGAACTGAATTTCCTTCTACTGCAAACTCACATGCTTGCTCTCTCAACTTCCATTGTTTATTGGTTTTATTAAAAACAGAGGCATTTGTGGGATGACCCTACCGCCTTGCCCATCGCAGAAAATTAACCACTTAACCCTCCTCCGCACGAGCACATGCCCTTGTGAATGTCCTTCCAACACGGTTGGGAAGGCCGTGAGGGGCAAGGCCTACTTTCCTTTTGTTTGGCTCTTTGTCTAGTCTCCACGCTGGACGTGAAACTCCTCAAGGCCAGCCACCCTGGCCTCCCCAACGTGTGTGATGGCGGGTGTCCCCCGCGGGGCTGGCTCCTCGGCAGGGACTCAGAAACGCCGTCTGCGCGCAGTCGGGAGCAAACCAGGCGCAGGGGAAAGACACCGGTGCGTGGAGAGCCGCGCACAGCAGCCAAGAAGATTTTAAGAACGTTGCTTCTGTCAGTTCCTAGGCTTCTAGAAGGCGCTCTGGTGCACCAGCGGGGCTGACCGTGCCCCCGATTTCAGAAGTGCCAGGGTTCCCAGCGCCAGGCACCAGCAGCAGGGGCGAGAACGCTCGCCAGCAAAACCATCTTCACATTTAGCCTGTGAGTCACTCTGGGCCACAGAAGCCTCGAGGGGTCCCCAAAGGAGAAAGAAATGCAAGCGGATAATGCCTTGAACCCTCAGAGCAGCGCAGGCCCTTCTCCCCAGAGGCAGGTGGGCTCCCAGTCGGCCTGGAGTTGGGTTATCTCAGAGGCCAGGGGAATTGTTGTGGGGGGTGCGGGGGTAGTGGGACCGACCAAGAAACAACGCGATTCCCCCAGGGCTGTTGAGAGTGAAGAACCTCCACCCAGGGGCCTCCCCGGTGGGGCAGCGGGTTGTGCGCAGCGCTGTGAAGTTGTCCGCAGCCTCTGCAGCGCCGGTTCGATTCCCGGCCAGCCAGGGAGATACCCACATGGCGCGGCAGACCTCTCCTGTCTCTCCCGCTGCTCCCAGCAGTGTACTTCGGTCCTTCTGCCTGTTCTGTTCCCCGCTCTGTCTCTGGTGAATCCTCTCACCCTCCCGCGCTTCTGACCTGTACCCCAGTTCCTGATACATAAATAAAATCCTTAAAAAACAACAAAAAACAAAAACAACCTCTACCCAGCCTCCTGTGAGGCCTGAGCCCGGCTGTCCCCGGGCCTTCTGGATCCTGCTGGGCCGAGGAGCACTTGAGGTCGTCGGGCCTGCGGGCACAGATGGTCCCACCGCCTCCTGGGGCGGCGCTGGAGTCGTTAAAGTATCTACACAAAGTAACCGCGAGGCCCAGGGCTTCAGACTAAGGGGCAGAAAGACGAGCGCCTGCGGGGTGAAAAGGAGGGAAGGAGAGAGAGGGGGAAATGCAAACTTTGGGGGTGCGTGGACTGACCTCCCCGGCGGTGGAGCCGGGAAGCCTTCTGCTGGGTGCTTGGGGGGCTCGTCCTGCGCGCCCGGCCGAGTGGAAGACGCCAGCCGGGGCCAGACGCCAGTCGGGGAGGGGAACACTCTGGGGGTGTCCTGAGCTCTAGGGGAGTCGCTAAGCCCGAGAGGAAGGTGCGACCTAGGGCGTCGGTATCTGAGAAGCACCACCGCGGGGAGCCGGCCCCCACCCCGACCCGGGTCCCCAAGTCTGTCAAACACCCACCTCCGGACCCCGGAGCGTGCTTGGGGTGCCGGGGGCGGATGGAGAGGTGGGCGCTGCGGGGCTCCGAGCGCTGGCGAGCGCGGGGCGGCGGGTCGCGGCCCCCCGGGCCCGGCGAGGGGAAGGCCCGCCCCGCGCGGGGGGAGGGGCCGCGGGGAGAGGCGAGGTCCGGGGCGGGAGGGGAGGAGCCGGGGCCGGCGGGCTCGCAGCCTTTAGCGCCCCGAGTCGCCGCGAGCGGGACTCCCACCGTCCGACTCCCGCAGGGGCCAGGCGGCCTCGGGGCCTGCGCTCGCCACCTCTGAGCGCGCGCGGCCGGGGCCGGGTTCCCCGCCGGACCCTCGGGGTTGGGGTTGGACGGCGGTGCTCGGGAAGAACCGGCCCGGCACCTCTCGGTCTCCCTAGGAGGCGGCGCTGCCCAGAGCTCGGGCCGCGCCCTCCGGCTTCCCCGCGCGCCCCATGCACCTGCCGGGCTGCGCCCCCTCGATGGCCGACGGCAGCTTCTCGCTCGCCAGCCACCTGCTCCGCAGCCCCGGCGGAGGCGCCTCGCGGCTGCACAGCATCGAGGCCATCCTGGGGTTTACCAAGGACGACGGGATCCTCGACTCCTTCCCGGCGGAGCGGGACGCCCGAGGCGCCAAGGAGCGGGCCCGGAGGCCGGGCGCGGGGGCCGCCTGCCCCAAGGCGCCTGGCGAAGGCGCAGAACCCTCCCCCGCGCCCGCCTTGGCTCCGGTCCCGGAGTACGAAGGTAAGTGAGCGCCCCCAGGGCCTGCGGGGTCCTCAGGGAGCCCGATCGCAGTAGCCCTGCCAGAGGAGAAGGCCCCGGTCTTCACTTTATTGACTTTGGGGCGTGAGGCTGACGGTGTGTGTTTATCAGGCGCTTCCAACGCGCATTCGGAGAACCCCTGGGGTCCCTCGCAGTGGTCTCCCCCACCCCCCTCGACCCATCTCAGAGCGCTCGTCGGGCCGGCCAGGGCCCCTGGGTGGGCGCGGCAGGCCCAGGGACAGTCCTGGGGACGGCCTCTGCTCCTCCCAGGTCTCGTCGCCCCGGCCCCGCGCCCCTACTGCCCCGAGGCGCCCGGGGAGGCGCGGCCCAGCCCGGGGCTGCCTGTCGGGCCCGCCGCCGGCGACTCGAAGCCGTCGGAGGAAGATCAGCCGAAGAAGAAGCACCGTCGGAACCGCACGACCTTCACCACCTTCCAGCTGCACGAGCTGGAGCGCGCCTTCGAGAAGTCCCACTACCCTGACGTGTACAGCCGGGAGGAGCTGGCCGGCAAGGTCAACCTACCCGAAGTCCGGGTGCAGGTAAAGCGCCCAGATGCGTCCCTGGGAGAACCCTAGTCCCAAGCTGCATCCCATACGCCCGTGATTCCCGGCGTGGCCTGAATTTATTACCTTTCCATTGGCCTTCCCCACTTGGCTCACCCAAGGCCCGCAGGAGCTTGGCGAATCTTCACTGTGCCCTATGCATCGCCTCTGACAGTCTGTTCCAGTTTGTAGCACGGTCTCCCCTTTGGTGGGGTGGGGTCTCCCTCCTCTAAGCTAAGAAGAGGAATTGGGGCTGGCAAGATGGGGAGGCGGACAGCTCCTCACTGGAAGTCAGGATTGGGAGGGTGCAGCACTAAGTAGAGAGGAAATGTAGACAGTAGCTGGAGGAGGGGGGCCCCCAATGCCACCTGAGTCACTAGCTGAGCCACACCACCTTGAAAGCGAGGGCCTGGCGCTTCACCATTGAAACTTTCATGGATTTACTGAAGAAACTGACTTTTGCTTCTGGGGGCACTTGCAAACAAACTTCCCGCGGCTGCAGAGGCCTTTTCTTTTTATTGTAAAGGGCTTTTCGCTTTAATTAAAGCTGAATTATCTTTAATCCTTGATCATTAAAATATTTGAAAGCTTTAAATATTTGCTAGTCATCTGTGAAAAATCTGGGAGGATTTCCAAATTGGGAGAGTTTACAGAAGCCTGAAAGGGAGACACTGGGAACAAATTGCATCTGAAAGGCAGTGGGACTAAGATGGGATTTTGTGTGTGTCTAATGAATTAGATTTCCAGGAACTGGGGATCCTCAGATGTTTGGGGCCTTTTAGCCCTGTCTTAAAAGTAACAGGGCGCACACTCTTCCCTTTGTCTCTTCTCCTTAGTTAAGGGGTTTAAAGTAATGAGTAAAATGTCATGGTTTGAAAAAAAAAGTGGTTCCCTAAGGTGATACAGGACTAACTGCCAAGGATGGGTCCAATTTTTTTTTTTTTTTTTTTTTTGTAACTGGGGGCAGAGGATCTGCAATGATTTCATTGGAGGGGTGGACATTTTAGCACCTGCTTTTCAGGCAAGACAAGGGAGGATGACTAGAGAGAGGGAAAAAATACGAGAGAATGAAGAAAAAAGAGCGGCAAAGCCTTCCAGAATACAGGCGCGGCCGGGTCAGGGGCTGCCTTCAGACTTGAACCTCCTCTGTCCCCCGTTCTTTCTTGCCTCCTTTATTAGTTCAGAGATTTTGGCTTTTCCTGTAAGTTGTGAGCTTCTTGAGAACTGTGTCTGTGACTTCTGGTGGCCACGGGGCCAGCACAGCATAGGGTGGCTTCTTAACCCAGGGCCGTGATGCCAGCAGATGGGCATGAAGAATGCTAGGCAGGTCTCCAGCCATGTCGGGGCTGCAGGAGTGCAGTGTAAGAGCTGACTATCCCAGTCTTTAGGCCTCTGTCTTTGGAAACTGGATACTAAACCCCAAGATTCTAGCTTGCTGGGGGGGGGGGTGGTGGAGGATGGAGTGGGACACACAGGCAGGGAGGAAGCAGGGGGCTGGGAATCCTCACCCCTGCCAGTTTTTCACTTTTCTCTAAGATTGGCAAATATCTAAGATTTCTGGGGGAAATCAGCGGTCACATATGTAGATGAACATTTTGGAAGGAAGATTTGGATTTTTGGAATAGAAGGGGTGCTTCCATTTTTTTTTTCTCCTTTCACCCCAAATCCCAGCCTTTCACACCCTTGCTCTGGTGCTGGGTAGCTGCTTTCTCTTCCCTCCTTGGGGCCCCCCTCCTTATTGATTCAAAACTGTTGTCTCCCCTCTGAAACCAAAATTCTCCTTCATAAAAATATCACTGAGGCTACCGGTTTGGCCAAAGTACTACCCAGATTCCCCACTGAACTGGATTAGTTCTCTGTGCCCTCTTCCCGAGGACGGTAACTTGGTGGCAAATATTAATTACACCCTGTCTTGTACTTTTATCAAATCAGTAATGGAAGCTTCATGGTTAAAACCCAGACTTTCAGTCTTACCAAGGACTTTCTATCTGTGAAGGGAAAAATGAAAAGAAATTCAAACTCACTGAACTGGTAGATGATTAAATGCAATTATTGTAATCAGCCACTGAGCATACAAGACAGATCAGAAATACTAAATGAATATTAATTAAGTAAAATAGAAAAAAAGATTAAAGATAGAATCAAATATGCTTAGGGTAAAAAAAAAACAAAAACCCACACACTTTTGGCTACTAGTTCTGATAACCAGAAATTCATGGAAATGGCTGCATTTTTAAAAAAGATTTATTTATGCATACAAGAACTGGGGTACAGGCCAGAGGTGTGGAGGGTGAGAGGATTCAAGAGACACAGCAAGGAACAGAACAGGCAGACTGACTGAAACACACTGCTGAGAGGAGCAGCGGGTGAGTCAGGAGAGGTCTGCTGCGCCATGTGGGTAGCTCCCTGGCCTCCAGGGATCCGGGGATCGAACTCGTGCTGCAGAGGCTGTGGATTTCTTCATAGTGCGGTGCTTAACCCCTTGCACCACCGGGAAGGCCCAACAGCTGCATTTTGACATCTACCGTTACCAGTTCGAGAACTTACTCATTAGCTTGTAACAGAGGAAAGGCAGGCAAAGCAGAAAGCCAGGGGCACTGCCCAGCGCTTGAGAGCTGCGCCAGGCAGGGAGGGAGCGAGGCCTCCAAGTGTCAGGAGGAGCCGCCAACCAACCCGTAGGTCACAGCAATGGGGGCCGGTCTGCTTTTAAGAGTCCGATTTCCAGGGTTCTCTCCACTTTCTCTGAGCACCTGCTTGGTGCCGGAGGCTGCGCGCGGATGCGGCCACAGCTGTGCGTGCAGTGGCCGCGGGACAGGTGGGGCGCACGCAGGCCGCGCCGCGAGGAGATCCAGAGGGGCCAGCCAGAAGGCGGGAAAGTGGGGCGGGAAAAGGATAACACGGGGCCCGAGTAGGGGCGGGGGTGGGGCAGGAAAGGAGCAGGTGCGGAATAGCCGCGCGGGTCTCATTCGGGTCTGGGGGCCCGGGGCGGGGGGCGCGCGCCCCTCCGCCGCCCGACGGCCGCTGTGCGCCTCCCGCAGGTGTGGTTCCAGAACCGACGCGCCAAGTGGCGGCGGCAGGAGAAGCTGGAAGTGTCGTCCATGAAGCTCCAGGACTCGCCCCTTCTCTCCTTCAGCCGCTCCCCGCCCTCGGCCGCGGCGCTGGCGCCCCTCGGGGCGGGCCCGGGCCAGGCTGGGGGCGCGCTGCCGCTGGAGTCCTGGCTCGGGCCGCCGGGGCCGGGCGGGGGCGCCACGGCTCTGCAGAGCCTGCCGGGCTTCGGGGCCCCCGCGCAGAGCCTGCCCGCCAGCTACACGCCCCCGCCGCCGCCCTTCCTGGGCGCCCCGCCGCTGGGCCCCGGCCTGCCCGCCCTCGCGCCGCCGCCCGCCTACGCCTGCGCGCCCGGCTTCGGGGACAAGTTCCCGCTGGACGAGGCGGACCCGCGCAACAGCAGCATCGCGGCGCTGCGCCTGAAGGCCAAGGAGCACATCCAGGCCATCGGGAAGCCGTGGCCGGCCCTCTAGGCCCGCGGGCGCCGGGTCGGGCCCGAAGATCCTGGGGCCAGAAGCGCATCCGCCCTCGGTCCCCTCCCTCGGTTCCCCGGCCGCCTGCACGTTGCCGCCTGACTTGGGGTGTGGACTCCCTCCTGCTCGGGACTCACAGGGCTGGTCGAGGCCCTCTGGCCACCCCACACCCTCAGGGACCCTTGTGGCTGTCCGCGGAGAGGCAGCGCACCCCTCCCGCCCCGGGCGCTGGGGCCTCCAGGCTCAAGGGTGAAAGCGCCACACCTTGACTGTTCCAGGGTGGTGGGAACCCCAGAAAATGAATACTGCGAGGAACGGGGGTGGGGGGGGCAGGAATAGAGTTTGAGGAACTGTTGTATAGGTAGTGTCAAAGTATTTGGAAGGAGAATTAAAGATGTGCTGGTTTGGTTTGACTCTGGCTCAGCGGCTGGGGACTGTGGCCTGGGAGGAGAGGCAAGGCCTGCGTGAGCAGGGACCAGAGCATCTCCCTCGACAGACCCCGTGGATCAAAGAGAGCAGATGGGTGCAGAAGAGCTGGGGCTACCACTTCCTGAGCCTCCTGGGGACACCATGCTGAAGCAGAGAATTGTCCCATTTCAGGACTAAGGCTCCCTGGGTTAGGCGCCCTTCTGACGCTGTCCGGTGCGGGTCGTTCAAAGCTCAGCTTCTGGGCATACCTAGGCCCTCACACGCCAACAGTTGCACAGTGGCTGCTGCTTTGAAGGATTGATTCCAATGGGAATGTCTACGCCACCTTCCTCAGGGTGAGGGCTGGACACCCACAGGCCCCGGCCTCCTCTCTCTGTGCAGCCCTCTCTGGCCCCGGGTGCTCTCACATCGCTGTCCAGGCTACCAGGTCGGCGCCAACTTCCGCGGCCCCGGGTTGATGACATTAATTCTCTGAGGGTGGGGAGAGCAAATTTTCCTTTTCTGAGTCTTGGGTCCGTCTCTCTCTCCTCCCAGCCCAGTGGCTCCCCTTAAGGCACCCTGGGTTGGCTGCTGGGCTTGGGGAGACTGTCCTGGAGCACTCTGCACAGATGCCTGGGGGCCCATCCTCACAGGGGCATCTGAGAGGCGCCACATCTGTGATTGATCCTGGAAGCTGGGCCACCCCCAGAATAACCGGAATTCCCCTGCACAGGTCCTCTGGCCCCCTCACTAAGCTCACATCTAGGAAGCCAGACAAGAGCCTTAGCATCAGCCAACTGCTCTCTGTGGGTCCTGAGCCTGTTAGGGAACCACCCCAGCCCCCTTTACTCATCTGGATGAACCATACCTTCCGGACAAGTGGGGAAGATAGAATAGGATCACCTGTGTGGGTTTTGTGTGAATGTCAAGGATCCAGCAGGAGACACACACTGTGATCTTGCAGTGTCCCTGAGCTGCAGTGGGGCTAAAGAAAGCTGGGGTGGGGTGGGGGAAGGATGATTATCTGAGATAGCGGTACAGGCAGTGTCACCCTGAGATTTAGGTTCTGTCCTGTGAGATCCTGAGAGGCTATAAGCATAGCCAGGGCTGTGAACCCCTAGACCCTCGTCTGTGGTCTTGTGCATAATAGGCTGGTCAGTAAGAATTTATTTGCATCGCTTGCTTTTTCCAAGAGGTGAGAGTAACACCTGCACTTTCTCTCCCAAGGGTGTTCCCTGGGGAAATGGATGGAATCCAAGTAGTACCAGCTCTTGCCAAGAAAAAGTAGGTAAACTCAGGATGGAGGTTTTAGTAAATTTCTTTCAGTTGGCCAGTCTCCTCTTTCTTTAATGCCCTCATTCTATCAGGACTGATTTCCTCAGCGGACCCGCATTCTCAGCGGCGGGGTGAGGACCACATCTGCGCAGCTCCCCTTCCACCTGCACTTGGCATCTTCTTTGCTTCCCTTAGATCACTTCACCATTATTCATCTTGTCTCCTCTTTGCTATTATGTATTCTACTTTCTTCCCACCCAAAGTTTTACCTCCTCTTTTGCCATTTAGTTTTGTCTGAGAGTTGCTGGTCTTCTCAGCCATCTCTCTAGACACCAACAGAGCCAGCCAGACCTGGAGTTCAGGGGCCTTGGAAAGTAATAATAAAAACACTAACAGCTACTGATGGCTGAGAGAGTAGCTTGTGCTAACGCCCTTCCAAACGGTCTCCATCTACTGACTCCTTGAAGCCTCATGAGGACCCCATGGGGAAGATACTGTTTTGTGAACAAGGAGAGGTACAGAGAGGTGGCACCAGTTAACCCAGAAAGGGCATAAACGGGGGGGGGGGGGGGCGGGGTTCTGTCATCTCAACATCACGGAGCAAGTTCAGGAATCATTTCCTGCACAAGTGAGTGCTCCTGATTTCAATTCCTAAGAGCAGCTCGGAAGCCACGTCGGGAATGGAGACCCTGTGGCGTGGTTGCCAGCCCGGAGTGCTTTCCTGGGCCCTTGGGAAGGTCTGGACAAAGCAAAGCCTCCGCTGCTCCTAGGGCTCCTAGGACAGCTTAAGATTAGCGCTGCAGGAGCAGGGGTGCTGGCATCCGGGGGTGAGAACCCGTGACGAAGAGCATTCAAGCCCCAGACGACCCGAGACCGGGAGACACCTGCAGGGCGCCGGCCAGGTGGAGCGCGCGCGGCTCCGACACCGGACTGCTGCCTCCTCGTTGGGGGAGGGCCCGATCTTTCAGGGACTCCCAGGGAAGGGCCTCCCCAGGAAGCCTGCATCACTTGGGAGCCGGTTCTTGAGTCTCCATAAAGAGGACAAGGGCGTGGCTCGACGATGTCACCACAGTCCCCCGAAGAGGCACTAGAACCAGCGCGGAGGAAAGACCCCGGCGGGCGCGCCCAGCGGGGAGGGAGGCAGCCCTGCTTCAGGTCGACGAGGATCCAGTCAGTTCGATCGCGAGGCCTTGGGGAGCCCCTCCCCAGAAGACACATCCTGGTCCCTCGTCAGCCGGCAGAACCAAGCAAGTGGGAACCGCTGCTTTTCCGCCGCTGGGAACCCCAGGGGTGCAGGGTGGAGGCGGGGGAGAACGGCTCGGATTGGGCCTCTCCGAGAGAAGGGGGGCGCCCCGGCGGGGCAGGGGTGGGGCTTGCCTTCCGAGGCGCCGCGGACCCCACCCTGCGGCCCTGATCTGCCCAGCGCGAGCCCAGCCTCGTCCTCACGGAGGGGCCTTTTCCCCTTTGTGGAGGAGTCTTTATGCGCACGAGGGCGGCGTGGCCTCTCTGCACCCCACAGCGTGGCCTCACTGCACCCCACGGCTCCCCCGGGGCACCGACGACTGAGGGTGCCGCTTCTCCCAGGAGAAGGGGCTCTCAAACCGAGGGGTCCAGAGGCAGCCATCCCCTCCACGCGGGCCCTCAGGGGAGTGTCCTGTCCACCCACCCCCCACCCTCGCCGCAACACCCTCCCGCACGCGTCCCGCCCACCCGGCTCCCACCCAGGCGGCTCGAGGCTGTGCACCCCCGCCCGGGACACCAGCCCTGCACCTGCTGGCCCGGGCGCCACCCCTGATGCCCTGAGAGGGCTGGAGGACCGGGGGCGACCCCTCAGGAGGCGCGGGCTTTGGCCACGGACTGGCCCGGAGCGACTCTGCTGTGGTTCATTATTCAAACGTGCCACGACCGCGGAAGATGCGAAATGCCAGCCCGAGGACATGGTCCTTGCGCGCCTCCGCCTGCGCCCGGGTTCGTTCATCCAGAATCGGGAGGAGGGGGAGAAGGAAGCCCAATCCCCGGTCTCCCCACAAAACCCAAGGCTGAGCACCCCGGGATCCGGGCGCCTCTCCCCCTGGTCCCACTTCCAAGCGCTCCTTGCGCTCACAGAACCCAAGCGCACAAATCTGGAACCCAAACCCCGGGAGCCCGACGGGAAAAGACTTGCGGGGCAGAAAATATCGGAACATTGACGTTTCCTCTCTGCTCAGAAGCGTGAGCTCAGCCCTGGCCTTGGGGATTCGAACCGCGTCCAAACCTGCCCGAAACCAGGCCTCCCGCAGCGCGGTGGGCGCTTTCCAAGGGCGCCTCTAGGTCGCCTTTCTCGCCGCCCTGAGTGCACCCTCTGTCCCCTCACCAGCGAGCTCTCTCGGGTGGCCCCTGCCCGCTCTGCACACTCCCCCAGGATCAGGCTGTTTCCTCGTGTTGTCACCCCCACCCCCTCGGTCCCTTCTGCCTCCCCTGCTGTTCTTTAGAGCAAACAAGCCCTCAGGAAAGGTGCCTGAGCCTAGTGAACTCAACTGAGCTCAGGGCTGAGGCTCAGCCTGCAAGACGGAGCTCACGCAGAGGTCGGTACTCAAGCAGCAGCTCCTGCTTTTGCAACATTCTGCTTTATTGGGGGGTGAGGAGTTCTCCTGCCAGATTACCCCCAGAGAGGTGGCTGGACCCTTCCTCAGGAGCTCGCAGGAATCCCAGGTCTGCCATGGGCTTGATCTGTGACTTTAGGCTAGGGAGTCTCTGGCTGAAGTTCCTCTGCTGGAAAATAAAGGGACCAGGCGACCTGCGCCCTCCCAGCTGCAAAACTATGAGCCAGGAGTCAACTTGCTTCGGTAACTGGACGGAGGGTGCCATCTGCTGGCTCCCGGGAGCACCTCACGGGCGGCCTTGCGCCTTCCTCGCAGAGAGCCTGTCTGCCCGCATCCCCCGCCAGGAGAACCGCCTTCCTTTCCGAGTCCTCCCAAGTCGGGAGACTTCATGTAACTTTTTGGGGAGAAACCCCCCCCCTTGTGGCACTCAGATTCCCACCCAGTCAAATCAACCCAGATTTGGGGAGCCTGATATCATTAAAGTCACTGTAAGAGAAGCAGGAGGCCAAGAAGCTTCTCTTTATGTGTTCTCACCTACTCCATCACTCGGGATAGGAATTAGGTCTAAATTGTGTATATGAATCAAAATGTGGTTGACAATCTCTTAAACCCATCATGTGTTTTTCACATGCTGCATCCTCAAGTAGGGTAATTTTTTTTTTTAAGATTTATTCATTTATACAAGAACCGGGGTACAAGCCGATGCACGGGTGTGTGGGAGGGTGAGAGGATTCA